AAAGCATTTCTTCGACGCAGATGATCTGACACGCTCATGGCTCGAGCGCGAAACCCAGCCCATCTCCAAATAAGTGATCTGTGGCCTTGATGGACCGTGGTTTGATATACCCACTCCCACTGCTATTGATGAGACGGCATTATGTAGAATACAGCCTAGATGGAGATACGCCATTTCAGTGGTATCTAGGCATAAATGATTAAGAGTGAATCAAAACACCAAATAGCTGTTAGCAAGAAGTATGGCGACACAACGCACGATGTAATGGTGATATATTTTTCCCGTAAACTTACCGACAACTGGCCAGTGGAACGGAATGCGGAAAGCTCTGGTGGAGCCTGACACTCCGCCCCGGCCTGTTTCAACACTACCACAACGGTGTCATTGAATTGCCTCCAGTTCTCTCTGCATTTCAAGCCAAGAATGCTCGCAGCTCCTCGCCAATTGTCGCGCGCAAGTCACAGGATCTAATACCGAACCTTTCTGGCTAACGGCCCCACGCCAGCCCCTTGTCACAGCCCACCAACACTTCCATTCTGAACCGGAACACCCCGTGATTAGCGCGCATCATTTGCAATGAGCGGCCAAAACGGTTATGGTAACGGGTATGGCTACTCTGGTCCCGGCCGGTACGATGGCAACGAGGGGGGATACGGTGGAAACAGCAACCCTGGGGTAAACGGATACGGTGGACGAGGTGTAGCACCACCAGGCGGAGGTGCACATTCGGATCGTCGCCCCGGCGGATACGGTGGCTTCTATGCCGACTCAACTCAGCCTCCAGCTCTATCTCCAGGCCAATCTCCTCCGCCAAGCCAGTCACCCGAGCGGCGGCGCGATCGAACGAACCGGGACTGGCAGCAACCCTCTCCGCAGCCGTCTTCAAACCCCTCTCCGCATCCCCCGTCGCATCCCTCTTCGAACCCATCCTCACAAGCTTCTTCGCATCCCTCTTCACGGTCACGGACAAGGAACCAAGAACCCGACAGGAAGTACCAGGAAGAACGGTCTAGAGATGCAAATCAGTACGCGGACAACAGGGACCCGAGAGGCCAGAGGGATGCAAGAAATCAAAGGGATCAAAGGAACCAGAGGAATGCGTCGCCTGTGGCTATGAGGAGCAATAGCTCGGGGGAGGCACAGGCTATTGAAAGTATGTCATTTTCTTTTGCTTACCCTGGCCCAATAGCTAATCTGATCACTTTCTACAGCGATTCTCCAGTCTATTCAGCGCGACTGGGACTTCATGACCGATGCCGAGTGTGTCCCAGTACACGTTGCTTTGAGTTTGATGGACACAAGTACGTTGGGCAAAGCAGATCGTGAGCCGGACTTTTTGCACATGTACAATGACATCCAGAAGACATTGAAGGCAATTGTCAACGGTAGGTCCTCTCTGCAGTGGTTAGGGCAGGCATATGCTAAAATTACATGTCATAGAACACCATCAGGGATTCAACAGTTCTATTGGAACGTACCACAAAATCCAATCCAATATATCTTCCTCGCAAACTCGAGTGCGCAGCCTGAGAAATGCTCTGGACCAGGCCAAATCCGGGTTAATATCGACCAAGCCCGAGTTGAAAGGGCTGGCAACGTCGTCTCAGAACTACGATGATATCGTACAGCTGTTCACTCAGATTGAGGAAATCCAATCCCTTCCCGAGAAATTGGAATCTCAGATTTCAGACAAGCGCTTCCTTGCGGCCGTGGATGTGCTTCACACTGGTCTCCGAGTTCTACGGCGTTCGGAGCTGGAGGACATCGGTGCTTTATCCGATATTCGCGCTTATTTCATAAACCAGGAAACGTCGCTCACAGACATCCTAATCGAGGAGTTGCACGACCATTTATACCTTAAATCACCTTATTGCTCAGACCGATGGAAACCACCGGCATCTGATGAAAAAGAGGTGCATACTTCTAATTGGTCCGGCAGTCGCTCTTGGGAACGGCCTGTGTATAGTTTCCTGGCCAAGTTCGATCCGTTGACGCCTATGGTCGAAGACGCCTCTCGGAACCCCGAGGCTGACACGTTTTCCTACATTCAGTTATTGATCGAAGCGCTGAACAAGATGGGTCATCTTGACGTTGCGGTTCATAGAATTGAGCAGCGTCTTCCGGTCGAATTGTTTGCTGTGGTGGATAAGACGAACGCAGAGGTTGATACTCGCTATCCTGCGCCAACCAAGAGCTTCTCAGCGCAAGATAACTACAAACAGTCCAGTCTCCCCACCGAGATTATTGAAAAACGGGGCCACGTCCTTTCTGAGTTCTTGTGGGCACTATATGCCAAGTTCGAGGCAATTGCGGAAGGCCACCGGATTCTTCACGATGTTGTTGCGGCTATTGTGGAACGAGAAGGTCTAATTAAAACCGAGACACTTTCTGGTGGGTTCAAGGAGTTGTGGAAACTTCTACAAAGCGAGGTAAGACGCCAACACCTTTGACTGGCATCGCGAATATTAATTTGTTTTAGATACGATCTCTCATGCACGATTATCTTGCAACCGATGGTGACTCTTCTGTTCGATCTAGAGCAGAGGAAACTGAGTCCCGACGTCACCTGTATACCGGAAACCGCGATAAAAATAAGGTAAGGAGAATAAGGAGACCACTCCTTTTCGTCTTCTCAATAGCTGACCCTTTACGTCGTAGAAAATGTTCAAGTTGTCCGATATTGAGCACAATTCTGAGATGAAAGCTGAGCAAGACGAACTGGATGAAATCCTCAAGTCATCGGTTCCGGGACTTGTTTCCAAGTCAAGGCAAAAGACCACAACCAATGATACTACACAATCTCATAAGGGTAACTCAGGGACCGGGCATAAGATTCTGCTTGAACCAAGTGTCTTCAATATGGGGATCCTGCTTCCTCCCTCTTTATCCTTCATTCAGCGGCTCAAGGATATTGTTCCTGTTGATTCGGATATTCCGATGGGCACTTTGACCTCCTTTTTGGATGACTTCATGGTCAATGTCTTCCTGCCCCAGTTGGATGAAACAGTGACAGATCTCTGCACGCTCAGCTTCATTTCCGCAGATGCATTTACAGAAGACCCCCAATGGGCTAAGTCCTCTCCTCGGCCTATTTTCAAAGGAACGGTAAAATTTATGTCCATTGTTCGGGAATTTAGCAAAATGCTGTCGAGTATTCCACATGATCAAGCATTTACACAGCTTCTTATTGACCAGATCGTGACCTATTATGACAAGTGCTGTGGATGGTACAAAGCAATGGTCACGAAAGTCTCTGCGCGAAACCGTGGAGGCGAAGTCCAACTGAAAGCCGCGGCTTCGTTTGCTGATTCAGGCGACATCTATGATGTTGTCGATGAACTGTGGAAAGGTGCCGGGGATAAGAAACAGACCCTGATTGATACAGAAATCGATCTTCTTCTCAAGCGAACAGGCGAGGTGCCTTTGGAGCCTTACGACATCATATCTGATCCGAAAACTGTCATTTCGCTTTCGCTCCTGTACAACAGCATGCAATGGCTTGCAAGTCACCTCGCGAAAATTCGGCTTGTGGTTGAACATACCGCGGATGCCGAGTCATCCAGTTTGACTGCAACTGGCAGGCCGTCTCGTAGATGGACTCTGTTCGGGTCCATGAAGCCTAATCGCGATAGCATCAATAACCCGGTGCATTTGCCACTCAACCACGAGACTGCTATCGTCTTCGATGGGACGATACAATCATTACACCGGCTTGGGGCTACTGCAATCCTGACAATGCATATTGACATCCGCTGTGGCATCATCCACATGTTGACTAAAACAATGTCCGGGCCAAATCCTCCTAACTTGCGGAACTCTGAACCCGTCACTCCAGCCCCAAACACAACGGACAACTGGTGGCACATTATCATGAATCAACCAACCGCTGCATCGCCCACAGTTCTTGCACTTAACAATGATCTCATCGCATTCGACACCAACATCTCGACGTATCTGGGATCTGTTGAGCGCTGGTTCATCACGTCGGGCCTGGCACGGTTTATCGACCGGGTATTTGTTGCCTGCACCCAGTATATCGGGGCCATGAACGAGAATGGAGCGCTACGGCTACAGCTTGATGTGCTTGTTCTCCAACAAAACTTGAAGAACATCATCATCGACCCAGCTGGTGATTCGTCGGATTTGGTTACAGATTTACACACGCAAGCTGCTCAAGAAGTCGTCGCCCTACCGCGCAGCGCCAAGTTCCTGGACTGGTTCCTAGAAGGCGCTGAGAAGACCCTGGACTACGCCAAGGAAGAGAAGGAGGCCTTTGCATCCCATGGCGACAAAGCTTTGGCTGCTGGTAACGGCGAGCCATTTACCTACGAAGAGCTACGTGTTCTTGTAGAACTATGCTTCTCTGAAATTCTGCGTGGTCCACGCGGGGCGGAGAGTCGAGAGGAATTTATGTCGGCGAAAAAGGCCAGTGCTGATGCGCTACTGGGATTGAACGAGATTATGTGGGATGCTCGATAGTTCTGGCCAATCCCACAGCTTAACACAGCTCATTTTATCTTGACTCACTGTCATTTCCTCTTTTTCCTCTTTTTTTTCCCTCTTTAATTTAAACAACCTCCACTAGCCTAACAAGGTATAGTATAATGGGTCAATCACCGTTTTCGGCTTCTCCGGAGCATTTATACTGGCTAACAATCTACGCCATGTTTCACCTTTTGAGTGCAGTTCTTACTATGAAATGATCAATTTACTAGCTCATCAAGCCATAGGGAGAGTATGAGCATGGATGACAAGGGCGCCTAGACTTATATATCGCTCAGCCCATGATTTTTCTCTCCCTTTTCATACATTCTTTTGCTTCCTTTACACTCCTGTCTGGAACAGTAACTCTTTCGAATCTGGCATTCGTTATCCAGACGTCCATTCTTTTACAGTGCACTTGCACGTCCGATCATTATTTCTAAGAGTCAATCTGTGACTTATTCATTCTTCGATATCTTCTCTTAAACTCTTCATTCTTTCGATCTACAAATCCAACAATGAAGTGTCTTCGTCTGGCCTCCGTGGCCGCTCTTATCAGCGCCGCTACTGTCTCCGCTGGTCCCTTGCGCATCCGGGAAGATGACGGATTTTGCCCCAAGGGCTACACCATGAGCGTCTACTACAAGACCATCTATGCATCTGCGACCTCTGTACAGTCTACAGTTGCCTCGTCTACTACGGCTGCTGTTCTGTCTCAAACCACCGCTGCGCCCGCAGTGACCACATCGACTACTTCCATTGTCGTGGAGTCTACGACTTCCGCCCCAGTTGTCCAAATCGAGACTACCACCTCTTCCGCCCCTGCTGCTGAGACCACAGCTGCCGAGACCGAAATTAAGAAGACCGCTCCGGCTGTGGTAATTCCCCCCACTTCACTTGCGACTCTTCCCGTCGAGCCCACTGCTGTCCCTGTCGTGAAGGCCCCAGTCGTGAAGGCCCCAGTCGTGGATGCTCCAGTCGTGGATGCCCCCGAGAAAACCACCACTAAGGCTATCGTCGAAGCTCCCAGCACTTCTACCAAATCTTCTACTTCCTCCTCTTCCACCAAGTCTGCATCTACCAGCCCCTCCGAGGGAAGCCCCGGCAAGGCCACCTTCTACGGCGGCAATGTTGGCGGCGGAACCTGTTCGTTCTCCGGCTACACCCTCCCGAGCCACCTCTTCGGTGCAGCCCTCTCTCTCCAGCGATGGGATGACGCAGCCAACTGCGGTGCCTGTGTCTCCGTCACCGGTCCCAATGGTAACTCCATCAAGGCAATGGTAAGTCAAGCTCTCTTTCCCTCCCATCCCTCACCAACTCTAACCAAAACCAGATCGTCGATCAATGCCCCGAATGCGAAAGCAACCACCTCGATCTCTTCCAGGATGCTTTCGCCGAGCTCTCGGACATCTCCGCCGGCATCATCCAGACCAGCTGGTCATATGTCTCCTGCGATCTGGACGGACCCCTCAAGCTTAAGAACAAGGAGGGCACATCCGCCTACTGGTTCTCGATGCAAGTTGTTAACGCCAACGAGCCTGTGGCTTCGTTGGATGTTTCCACCGATGGCGGTAGCACGTGGCAGGGAACCTCCCGCCAGTACTACAACTTCTTCGAGAACTCTGCTGGATTCGGTACTAGCACCGTTGATGTGCGTATTACCGGTGCTAGTGGCAAGACTGTTGTTGTTAAGAACGTCGGTGTCGGTTCTGGCAACGTGGTTACTGCCAACTCGAACCTGTAAATTTCCGGTTGAGCGGAGAATCTGTATATTTATTTTCTTCTGTTGATATTCTTTATTGAGGTGGTTTGGTGAGGGGATTTTTGTTTTAGAGGTTATCTAGTCCGCTCTTGATCTATAGCAATGTCGATCTACAAGGTCACCCTCTCTTTGAAACATATAGCTCGTTTGCTCTCTATCATAAACTCGTACTCTAGCTGGTAAAGACTCAGTTGTATGCATCACAACGTAAAGAGGCCATGATGCAACACGCTAACGAATCGATCCTCTTGCTATGTATGCCGTCCGCAAAATATCACATCTGGCAGACAATTACTGTGTCTTCACTTCACTATCGGCCTCGACATTCTCGACATGGGGGTGTGAATCCAGGCTGTGAACCGAATCCTCAGGGAAAGTGACACTACAAATATCAAGATCAAGAATTAGCCATCTCACCGAAAGAGGACCTATAGAGTATGGAAACAACTCACGCAAAGCCCTTGATCAACGAGTACTCATGTCCAATAGAGCCACCCTGCTCCTTGGCGTGGTCCTTGACGCTAAAAGGGAATCATGTATTAGCATAGTTTATCTGAAATATCAGCGTGAGATGCATACGCCTGAACCTGGTCGTCGGTTGCGTCTGGCTTGCACGTGATCTAAGAGAGAGTTAGCATGATGTCTATGTTCTGAATGTGTTATTTACTCACAACGTAAGAAGGCATATTTAGATAGAAATGTGATGAGAAAATAGGAAGAGATCGGATATTAAGTAGAGAAGTAAGACCAAGTGGACGCGTTGACATCATAGAGGGGTAGGCTGATCAAGGCTGTGTTATCTCCGCACGCTAAGATTTGACCTCAGTGGCTTAGATGACTGATTATATTGAAACTGCAATGACGCTTTATGTGTAGATCTTGTTTTAGGGCCTATGTAGGTACCTAGTGACTATCCTAGGCACAACTATGCCCAAGCAAAATATCCCATTGGTTGTTTAACATGAGAGATTGAATGTGGTAAAGATTGTCACATTCTACTGTAGTCAACGAGCGAAGGGACGAGGAAATGTGATAAATTAAGAAACGCGAAATATACAACTATGACACGATTCCTACAAGGACGAGTCTAGGGAGAGATTTAATAAAACAGTTCGAAAAAAAGGGACTTAACAACCCACAGCTCCATTCCAAGGCAAACCCATCCCAGCCTAGATTCGCCAGCCCACAATCCATTAATGATGAAATGAAAAAGAAAAATAAAGAACAAAGCCCGAGTAGCGTACAAAGACCGTAAATATGTGTGAGCAGAGAATGATCAAAGGGGGTAAGCAACAACACAAGAGAACATTGCGCAAACAAGTCGCAAGGGTAGCTAAAGGGAAATGTAACACTTAGAATGCCAGGGGCAGACCTTGCGTGGAAACGGGGGGGGGGGGGGGGGTAATAGTAAAGTTCATGGCGAGGTTACATCGATTGGAGGAAACATGGTAAGAGAAGATATCTGGTAACAGCAGAACAGCAGATTTGAAAAACAGAGAGATGAGGGTATGTTCAAGTCTTGACCTCCGGAACGCAACAAGTCGTAGCACATGCAGAAGAATAAGGATGAGCCTAATCCATCTCCAGTGACTCTAGATCCTTAGCCTCTTCGTAGTCATCAAAGTCTAGGCCGGCATCCCGGCAACGCGACAGCCACTTGAGGGCGATGTTGTTGCGCCGGGCGAGCTCACCCTTGAGCTTGGAGTTCGAGCCGCTGATCTCGGCAATAGCATGATTAGCAGTCAGGCTGTGTTTCTCAAATTGCTCATCGATGTTCTTCTTCTCTTCCTGCAGCTGCAGGATATATTCAATGGCACGTTGGAGGATCGCGCCCTTGTTCTTATCGCAGTTCGGCACAAGACGAGCAATCTGGTTGATACCTTCATTAATAGCTTCGCGGCGGCGACGTTCAACTAGGGGAAAGGGGTCAGTATGGAAGCACGAACGTGATCAGAAAAGTGGTTCTTACCTTCTTTGTGATTGTTCTTGCGAATTTGGTGCCATTCGGGAGAACCAACGGTAGGTTTCTGGTTCATACTCTGAGCCTCGCGCGCAGCGTATACGGCGGCGGCAGTCGAGTTGTGATTGTGACCACCACCCATGGGGGTCTGGTTCATCTCATCGCCAAAGGACAGCCCTTGGGTGAGGTTGCTTGCATCGAAACCGGAATCGGGAGGAGGGGGGTACTTGTGTTGAGGAGTGTGTGCAGCGAGAGCAGCTTTGGCATTCGCGGTCAACGCGTTATCGTCAGAGAGGCCGTTCTGCGGACCAACATGCTGAAGAATTTGTTGATCAATGTTGAGTTCTGCCCCAGTGTTGGGAAGTCCGTGGTCGTAGTTTCCAAGCCCTCCGTGGCCAAAGTTGTGCTGGTTATCCATGCTGCCATTGCTTCCGTGGGAAGAGCGATTAAGACGCTGCGGGTCGGGACCTAGATCCTCGGAGCCATCTCTCTTGCGCTTGTGCGAGCCATTATCTGGGCTATTCATGGTGGGATCAGACATGCTGAGCCCTAAAGCTGATAGTCCTATTCGTGGTAGTGGTTAGTCATGCAGCCAGTAAGTGAAAAGTGAAGTGAAGCAAGTCTCGGAGAATAAGAGAATAATATGATTGGAGAGGTGAATGCAGCCTGCGATAAGTCGGTGTCTGGCTGATCAAGTCCCGGGAAGATCAGTGGACACACCGCAAGGTAAACAGACGCGTGGAGCCGACGCGCTCGTAAGGCATTTGAGGCCGGTCATGTCCAACCCGGCCATCGGCATTAAATTTTTCTGGCGCAGTGCATGAGGATAGTTCTACGGGGCAGTGGTGTTGTCAAGCGATCGCATATAATGCGATGCCTTGATACATCGGGGTTCCAGATATCAAGAACGCGTCATGATGGCTTGCAGGCAGCTGAGGTCACACAGGGGGGCAGCGTCGTGAAGGTCACCACTTGCGATGAGCATCACGACGCGACATGCAATGACATGGGGAAATCTGGATGAAGATGGGGTATTGATGGAGCCGTACCTTGGGATGATCTCTCTTTATCACCTGACAGGAAGTCACCTGCCCGACAACAACAAGACGCAGGTCACGTTGTCTGCGAAACCCCGAATTCGAAATTGGGACGTGAAAATGCGAAAGTTGAAAATTTGAAGAAGCCGATATCAGGATATGCAAACAACTTAGCAATCTACCTTGCGGTAAATTTAGAAATAAGAAAAGGTGTCTCTTTAGGAAGATGTAGAGTTGCGGACAAGTTCAAGATGGATTGCTCACGTGGCAAGGAGGTGGTCAAGAGGAGGAGTCGCGCTGAATCCGGTAGATCAGAACGACCAACAGTGCAGTAAATCACCTGATTTCCCTTATTCAAAAAAAATACACTGACGTAAGCATACCGCCTACCGCCTGGAAGCCCTGGAGGTCTAGACAATTTTGCAAACACATCCAAAAAGAAACCGACAACAGCTGAAGATAACCAACTAAAAAATGCTTGAATAGATTCTACGCCTCCATCTCTTGTCGGAAGTCATGTGCAGCCATCCCGTGCCCCTCTGCTGCACACCTCTTTTCTTGATCTCTGATTGGCTACCGGCTCTCGGAGGGGGAATTCCTAGATCACGTGAGGGGGTATCTTATGGGCCAATCACAGGATCTATTTGCCCACTACGAGGAGGTCAGACCGTCGGATACAATGAACTTCATAAATCCACACAAGTAACAAGTATATGGGCGTAGTCTAGACACACTAGAAGGCTACTAAATATATGCAATATAGCCGCATTGATTTGGAGTGACCCTCATCCTTGTTTCTCTGCAAGTCATCAGGCTAGATCCACTAGTGTATGGAATTACCCCTTCAACTGAATCAGGAAACACAACAGGGGAATATCCCAGTATAGTGGTAGCAATGGGAAACAAATTTGTGCATTATGTAGCGGGTGTACCGGTCTATATCATGATATAACACGAGTCCTTTTTACAATACAGCTTACAGGATACATTCTTTCTACTTCTCGCCGGTTTTACCTCTGATCCCTCATCGGGGTGGGGGAGAGGAGAATCACATGTTTCAGAATAAGCATCCTGAAATAGGATTACCCAAGCCCTTCACACCACTATCTCTTCCAAGGGTTGCATCGGAGATCCAAAAGGGTATCCTTCAGTACTTTGCCCGCATATTGATAAACCTGAAGACTGAGTGATCATGAGACCTCAGAATTTCACCTGCGATATTAAGCTAAGTATCTGAGCTTTTCGCCTGAAGATTGCGACGATCTCGATGATCTTCTATTAACATCATCATGTTTTGAGTCCCTTGTCACATGGATCACCTACACATGATGCGCCTGTCGCAATCAAGTGGAGTTTCCATACTTGAAGGTAGGATCGCCAGAGCACTGAGCAATATACACCGTCTAGTGTATATATTCTGGGATTGGGGGGTATCACAGAAACTCGGGTGATCGAAATGCCATTTCTAATGTCATGTTGCAAGGGTGGACCCTCGATCAGTTTATAGACTCTTCATTATCTGTGGAATAGCCTGATGCGTCCAGTGCGCCCCTCACTCAGACGCCTTTTTCAGTGCAAATACCATTTGTGGATCTGCCGTAGTATCCGCGAAACAAATACCCTCCTCCGCAGCGCCTAGCATATCCCAACAAAGTATCTTGACGTCGAATGGGTTGCCTGCATCCTCTGTCTCACTTTCCTCATCAGGGGCGTGCGCACCTGACCCTGCATCTTTCTCCGCAGCATTAAGAGTGGGCCGTTGCGTCACAGCAATGATAGCGCTTGTCCCCGCATATCGCGCCGGTGGCTTGGTATCTTCTGTCGGTGGCTCCTCGCCCGACCGATTAGAAAACACAATAACGATCTTCTTCGGAGAATCTGCCGCCTTTCCGCCGTCAAGATCCACCTCATGTTCCATCCTCTTTTGCAACAGAGGCCAGAACCGCTGAAGCCAATAGTTGAAAGTATCCATCTCAGGCTTATCCTTCAAGGCATCGAGCTCTTCCCGGCTCAGAATAGTCAACCAGGCCATGGACAGAATGACAAGCTGGGACTTGGAGTCAAGAACTCGAGTTGCAAACTCCCACTTGTCGAATGGCGCCTCAAACTTGTACGGATTGATATCCATGCAGATACCAAGCGAAGTCGCGACCTGTTTTGTCTCGGATAAAACTTGCTCACCCTGGTTTGTCAAGGAAGATAGCTTGCCTTCAGTGGCAAAATCAAGCTCATGGAATCCTCGCTCGACTTGACCTTCGGCCGCCCACGTTTCGTCGGTGTAATACAAGAAGGTTTTGCGGTAGTTGAGGATGAACTCCCCGTTCTCGTCAACAGCAAGCAGTGAGTTATAGTATGTGACTCTGTCGGGGTTTTCAGAATCCTTCTCAATCTCCGGATACCCCACGCAGACCTTGCATCGCAGGCGCCTGGCAGTTTCGCGCGCCCAAGAGGCAGAGGGGCCGTCACCAGCTGGCTCGAGATATGGCTTGATCGCTTCCAAAGAAGGGAAGTTGTAGCCTAGTTATTCGTTAGCCAGTGAACCTTTCTCCCAAAATTGAGCTGGATGTTAGAGACTAGGGCGAAACAGGCTTCATGCTGCTCAATATACGCTCGTGGACAGCCTGTTGGGTAGGCACTAACCCGTCATCGCCAACTCAGGCAGCACCAAGATATCAGGCTTCATCAGATCGACCCCAACCCCGATCTCCTTTCCATCTACGGATACGGTCTTGCCAGTCTTCAATAAAGCATTTGCTTTCTCAATATTGCCTTTGAGATCGCCTAACTTCGGCGCGAATTGAAGAGTTGCAATCCTCATCTTGCGAGACGGTGAGGTTGAGAACTTTCTGAAGTTAAGATGCGACACTTGTTGTAAAATAGGGTGTTTCCTAGTGAATAGTGGAAGAGACGCGTCTGAAGTCAATGGTGTTCTTAGCGTGGATGAGGTATGAAGTTCGTGTCTTCTGGTCCCAACACGGACACAGCGGGGCAGGTTTTTTGCCAGAATGATGGCGGGCGGGTCGGAATCCTTGAACTCCCAATATACCCAAAACAATTATTTATATACTGTAATTCTCGAGTCCAAGGCAGGATCTATTACTTCCGGGGTATGGTTGTTGTTTGGACGGAAGGGCGATGTTTTGGGCCACGAGTCATATGAAAGTTGATGCCTCAGGGGTAAATATCCCTCGGTTTCTAGATTCACCACAAACATTGTAACGTTCACGAATTCTGACTGAATTTTTCAATTTCAAGGTTACAGAGTAGTTCGTGGATATTGCAGCTGTATAAACTATCAAAAACATCAAATGCACGCCAAATGCACTTATGTCGTACACCATTTTGAGCTATGATTGGTACAGTTGTGTGTTCTAGACTTGATGTTGAGAATGTATATAGTCAAACTGACTTTGGTCCTCGCTGGATCTCGAGAGGAATCGTCCTTCGTTGATGCATTATTTTCCTTGGTCATTTAGCATTAACCGCTCCCACATAGCTTTATGCCTTTCGCCGTGAACTATGACTACTTTCTCACCTATCGTATTTAACCACAGTTTATGCAGAGAACTGCGCATCGATCGTAGTTGTTTGACGTACCATTGAATGCATGGATTTTGAGTATTAACTACAAGAAAACTCATTTAGCTCCGCTCGCAATCAGGCAATGCCCATTTGACCATCCAGTCTGACATTAGCACCTCTTCAGCAGTCGGTCGCTCTTCTGGCCGAAATGACAGCATCCGACGCATCAAATCTAGAAATGCGGCTTTCTCCTCTTTCTCAATCTCGCCTCCCATCTTCCGTCTCTATTTCTGCACACCGATCTCAAATGATTCCTCAAGAGGAGGCCATTTATTTTCCTTATAGGACTCCGTTGGATATCTATCCTCATCGAAAAACCGGGCTCGTCCTTCCCAGAGCTGCCACCATTCCGGTGGCATAGGCCCTAGTACATCGACATGCTGAGCCGCTATCCAATCCTCATCTATAAGATCGGTGCTAAAGATGGCCTTCATTCCGATAATTTCCCAGATCGCAGTAGCCAGACTCCAGATATCTGAGGAATATGCGAGCGGAATTTGCGATTCGAACTTGGCTTCTGGAGCCCGAAACGCGATTGGCGTATGGCAGTCTTTCCCAAGACGAATGTCTGAAGCGGGGCAAAATGCCTCACCAAAGTCAGTTAGAAGGGGGTGTGCGTCGGATGATGAGAACTTCTCTGCGTATTTCCCTAGGAATAGCGGCACAACAGCTTTGGCCGGGGCATTATGTGGTAATGGTTCTCCATCACGTCGTGTGATAGGGACTGTCTCAGGTTCGCCAAATGTTTCATAGAGTTGCTTGATAGAAAGCTCATCAAAACTTGACGGGGGCTTGACCAAAATGTTATTCAAATGAATATCTACCACCGAAGATATTGGGTATTGGTTAGCTAGTATATAAATAGATAGGTATGTTTATAACAAACCTCCATGAACATAGCCTTGTGAATGTGCATAAGCAACAGCCTGTACGAGTCGATATGATAGTACTCGAGCAACTGGAAAAGACGACTAAAGGAGACCTCTCTGAGGTTGCATTGTGTAGGGGCCACCGTGTAGCATATATGTTTTCCGTTAGGACCTCGCACTTCAAATTCATCTAGAAAAACAGGTACTAAACAACGGCCAGGATGTACCAGTGAAAAGGAGGAATGCGGAACAGACAAAGCCCTAAGGACTTTCGTCTCGTGCTGAATCGAGTCGGCCATGCTAGCTTTGAGAGTAACATATCGGTTTAAATAAGCATCTCGGGCAAGCCAAACCGTAGAATAGGTCCCAAAGCCAAGCTTGTCTGCAATTTTATAACGGCCATGTAGCACATCACCGACCATAATTGGGTGATAACCCCCGGGCTGGTATTCTTCGAGTCTCTCCACGCCCTCGATCCAGTCATACTCGGCGCGATTTTTCTTGGACGTTGTGGTGCCCGGTCGTTCGAAAGACACCCAGTGGGGCTTTCGGCGCCATGGGAATTGGAAAACTGAAGTTGAAGGTCGAGATGAGCTCGAAAAGAGTACAGGGTGCACGAATCTCCTCAAGGAGCGTCCCATGGTATGCTGGCGTGATTGTTTGAAAAAATAGCCATGAAGCTCCCTCAGAAGGGGTAAATCGATGTGTCAAGAGGTCGGTCAACTTGAGAAGTGTCGATATTGGGGGGATTCGAGTGGCAAAGCCTCCTGTCATGTAAGAATAGATAGAAATGACGTATATCGTTTGCTCCCGGTGTATCTAGTCTTTCATAGTCAGATAGCCCCTTTCTTTCTCCACGCATCTACAGATTTTCCAGAGCTCTCTATTTCTTCGTAGATCTGTAGATTCTCTGTCTCACACAATCCTTGGATTGGACGGCTACTAAGATATGATCCCGAGAGCGTTGCAATTCTTGTGGTGCTCTCATATGGCAGGATATACATCAATGTGGACTTCGATGTAGCGGCCTGCTGGAAAATGGGTGTTATTATCGGTTGAGCACACCAATTCACCGCCTCGCTCTCCGCCACTTCTCCAATTGTTCTCCCTTTCTTCTTACTATTCTATGTTAGAATCCAATATAAGTGTGTAGGGGAAGTTTAGAGGGTTTTATGTGAGGCTAGCAGCAACTGATTGGCATCTACTCGGTATATAGTGGAGGATGTGTGTCTTTTTCAAGGGCATCGTTATTGCTCAATCTTAGACTGGCTGATCTATAGGGCCATAATGATGGAAAGATGACGACAAGATAATGGTACATATCTATCACAATGATATGATGGTTATCTAAGGGAGTTTTGGCCACCTAAGCACCTGGCATACGATTTCTAGTCCAAGGCCACAGAAGATAGCCCTTAACTACATCTTTCGATTTAGAGGGGATAAGGTAAAAATATAGGAAATTCAAGGTACTGCAACATCAAATGACAACTTTGACGGGCTGTCTCCGTTCATCATCCCGCAAACCTCCAACCGTGGCTGGATTCACAAGTAAACATTTTGCCTCGATACTCGGATTGAAAGGTGTCTTGAGAAACTCGCGTATTGTATACAGAAGATTCCAAATACCTCCTCTAGCAATGACCGTGCACTCGTACGCCTCCTGGAGCGTATCAAACAAGATCCATTCGGTGCCTGCTCCCGCATGGACATGCCCAAACACATGTAGCCTAGGCTTGACTCTCCATAACTCCCGCAGTAGGTGAGCACACCCCAGATTTAGCAAATCAAGATGACCAAGTGGCGGACCGTGAGTGATTAGCACATCAATCCCGTCAGGCACTGAGCCAGTCCATACGTCTTGGTTGGGAGGATACTGAAAGGCCCAGTTACCATTTCGTCTAGTAAAAGGACTTCCGTAGATCCTGAGCTGGCGACCATTTGCACAGGAAACTGTGGTCTCCTCGTTTTCCAGGTAGATTATTTCACCCCAGTCAAGCTGGGCTCGCTCAGAGAGAGCTTGGTCTGAGTCATCGCGCGTTGCGTCGAGTAACACATCGTGATTGCCAGCAACAACTATTTTGGTGGGATGAGGCTGGGCGCGTAACCAGGTGAGCGTTGCCTGGAGTTCCTTGAACGAGCCCGATTGTGTGAGATCACCAGCATGAATGAGAATATCTCCATCGGGAAGACTAGGTTGACAGTTGTGGGTATCGGAGACGCAAATGATAGCAACAGGATTTGTGAGTGGTTTTGCGGGGATGATTTGATACCAAGTATACAGCTTCCGCGCAAGAGAGATACAAGGCTGAGCCAGGAAGTGTTCCCATGGTGTGGGCGGTTGTCGATTAAGGAGGTCACTGAGGCTGGACATGATTGAAGACTTCCAAGGTTGGTACCTATGTAGTTGTAATGATATATGTCGCTGTAAGGTGGTATTTGCTTTAGGCAATCACAACTGAGTAGACCTCCGCAAAGCCCATAAAGCCTAGCGCCCAACCCAACCCAACCCACTAACTGGGTTGGGCTTTAGGCCTATCCTCGGGCCCACCGGTGGGCTATAGGCCCGGGGTGAAAGCCTACTAGGCCTACGATAGGGGCCCAAAGCCTAAAATAAGCACTAAACAATTTAAACATTCTAAGAAACGTGACTTCTTTAATTACCTTATATTTAGATCCCGTTTTTAGCCCTTAGATTAGGGTAATATTTTATTATTTTAATTAATACGTTATCAATAACTAGCTAAATTTATATATTACACCACAACGCTAGGTGACGGTAAATTGAGCGCCGAAAACGGCTACCTTCGACGCCGTTTTAAGCGTTCTTTTTACCCAGATTCTTAGTCATTAAATTGTCACGTGACTAGCATCTGCGTTATCGTCCCCTAGTCACTGAGCGCTCCCTGAGCACTCATACTTGCTCAGGGATCAGCTCACCCTTCACTCAGAGCATTCATTGTTGATGATCAGGGACGTCATAATGTTCTGCTCACTAGGTTAGCCGATTATAGCCGCTGTTTGTAAAAATAGAAAGGTCCTCTTGTTAAATGCTGAACCCTCCCCCTAATCCAAGCCTTCTGTTCCAATATTTAAAGAGCCTTCCCCCCGTCAAGTCTTGGGCTTTCTTAGAGCACTTTACCTAAGACTTGTAAGTACATGATCAATTTCCAATCCCTAGGTCTTCTAGATCTTAGTCATTACGGGTTTCTTTCTCTTATCTTCTTTTTTTACTATCCTTTACTTTTTTCACTACCTCCTGCCTACTCTAATTCATGCCATGTCTGTTCTTGATACCGTAGGGAGTGGGAAAAAGCTGGCTTATAGCCCTGAGTACTACCGGCGACGTCGTTAGTAGCTTGAGAAAGGCATTATATAAAAACGATATGCTATATTAACAAAGAATAACATTGATAAAATCAAAAAAAGATGGATTAGGTAATGAAGTACCTGATCTCTTGTCCTTCTGAAACTGATCTAAATAGGCACTGTGAATATTTAGGGAAAGATCCTCTCTAATTTCTTATTGCAGTATAGAAGGGAGATATCATGGTTTTTCTCGAGTGGATTCTTGATAACTCTAAGATTAAGAAGTTTAGTAGTTTATATGAGAGCTGGAGGTAATGGTGCTAGCTCTACCGCAAAACTGTAGGGAGAAGTCTTTATGCCAAGAGTTGTCAGGATATCAATGATGTGAGTCATTTTTGTTTCTTCCCTTGCTCGCTTTCTAATAAAAATGTAATAGTACATAAAGGAGCATCTAGTCATAAGTTACAATCTCGATATGTCTGTTGGGGAGAAGCCTATGATGAACGTTAATGATTTGTACATTGTTATCCACCACCATTGGATAAGAGATATAACCCCCTATCCCGATGGTCGTTAAATAATTTAACTCGCTTTCCTACTTCTGGTGTTAGTATATACCGGTAGTCGACTAGGAGCGCTGGTTTATGTTGACCGAAACGAGCGGACTAATATCTAGCATTTCTTCGGTGGTGTAGATGAAATTGAGGGACACGACGAAGATTGGGACCTCAGAAGATGATCTAAAAACACTTTGCTACGGTCAGATTAGTTTGATTCTACTCCTAAACCCTAGAGGTATTCGTGACTATCTTGTGATGGAAATTGATTTGAAGCATACTAAGGGTTATTATACCAAACCAAAGAGGTCAGTGATTGTAAGGCTTTGTTTTACGCCAAGCTAATTTATCTAATAGAAAAATCTTCCTAATGTCTGAAGTCAAACAACCTTTCTTCGATATAATTGTCCTTGTGCTTATAATGGCAATCCTTGACGATGCATTTTTGGCAAATATTTATTCTGTCGAGGATATATTCGTGGCTTGTGTCTCCCCACCACGTCGTTCAGTTAGACTGAAATTCAAGAAAGATAAGCTCAATATGCCAATTTGCCGCCAGCCAGACTTATATTATTCCGGAATGACTACTCACCCTATGAAACCACTTAGGTATCACATATACCTCCATTATTTGCAGCGGCTGAGCTTGGCCGTTGGGATGATTAGAGTAATGAGACCTTACGACCTTCGGCGCGGTACTAGCGAGGTAGTTGATAGTGAGTTTGATGCTGTTAGTTATCGTGGTTTTTCTAGGACTGATATACGGAATATTTTCAGAAACCGCATCTCTACCCTTGCTACAATAAGTAATAGGTCATGTCTATGCTAGCACATTTCAGAAGTATATGAACGAACGGGTCTAGACCTATGTTTAGGCTTCATTCCTTGGAATTCCTTCGGAAGACGCATTGATAAATATCCTTAGTCACCAAAAGTCGCTATATTGACCCTCGAGCTCCGTCTAAATATGATGACCTACCTGAAATCAATAGAGCTACGCTTTTAAACCATCTAGAGATCCTTAAACTACAATATATGCGTGATACCCTTGCTTAAGAGGCCAAAGAACTTTACGGATCTATGAAAAATGCAAGCAGTACTAAAATTGGAGAGCTTAAAGCGAAGGCGGATGCTGCGTTGAGAACAGTAAAAAAGATTTTAAAGGAAACCACATTTACTGGTGCCCGCAATGAGTTCTTTGACACTATTGATACTCTGGAAATCAATAAGCAACTTGATCCATCGCTATCGGATATGAAATAGGATGCTTACGAACCCTAGAAGATCGTCTATCACCTGAAAGAACGTCGCCAAGTAGTAGACTTAATGCAAGTCCTATGTTAGGAGCTCTCTGAAGAAGATGACAAAATGTAAAGAGTTGTCTTAATCAATGCCCTTATTGATCTTGGCCGTGTCGAAAGGGTGCTATCTGAGAACTTGGTCTCTAAAAAAACGACAAAGTATACAATCACTAATGGAAGCGAGGAAGCCTCGCTAGATGAGCTCACTCGTTTAGAGCCGGGCTTTTCTCTATCTCCTGAACCACGAAGTCGTCCAATTTCTATGATAACTCGGCACTGCCTCTTCTGTGTGTTTGAGCCAAACTACTAATGTTGTTTTGTATCGGCTCGGAAGGCCAGAGAGTATTTCGAAAAGCACCTCCATATTTTTAAAAGTGACCAATTTATTTCTTGCCCTGATAAAGTATGTGGACTCGCCTTTCGTGGACATCAAGCGTTTAAAAGCCATGTAGAGAAGGTCCACTCGATACGTTACTTCACTGAGGCGCAACGTATTAAGGCTGGCTTGTAGAATATTTATTTATTCGTAGACTGTAAAGCCCGCGGTACGCCGAATCTCTTTGCGTAGAGAGTTTACATTCTTTGAGCAAGACATGAATCTATTACTAGTCAAAGTACGGACAGAATAGAGTTACACAGGATTTACCCCTTGTCAAAGATTGACGAAGCTGCTAATGAATCATGTCAAAAATTTCACTTTTATAGCTGCGTATGAAGAATAGCTCTGCTAAGATGACCGAACGCCACTAGATTAAGTACTAAGTTGCACTCCGTTCTTTATGCCCTCCTTTGAACCAATAGTAGCCTCAAAATATGCCTTGTTTGCTTCACTCGTTGGCTTTTGAATTTAAACTTCATTAGTTAGACCTCTTTACGTTTGTAAGTATACTTGCGCTTTTTTCTCTATGATTGTCATACGTATAAGAACATGACTCAATCGTCCGGTTGAATATAGATCGATTACGAGATGTCCTAGAAAACCACGTTTAGGTGAATGACACCTTGCTTTGGCTGGATACTTTCCCTTACACAAGCCTTATAGTACAATACAAAATGCACCGCTATAGTTTGTTTGTTAGTTGTATGCTAGTTAGGTAAGTAATGAAATGTTAGTGGTATGTGATGTATCGTAACACCCGGCTGTTGGATAAATTCGTGACAATACACCTAAAAATTCAAAGAAGCTAGTGTGGCTCACCTCCAATTCTAGTCATTAACGTTGATTAGGAAACTTACACCACGTAATTGTTATGATGTAGAGTTGGACACCCAAAATCAAGTAAATTAACAAATATTGTCCGTTCGAGGTTTATCCAGCTAGTACTCTCGAGCCTAAAGGTACTATAGAAATAATCCTCTTCTGTTCTTCAAGGTGTACATATTCTCCGTTATCAGGTGGCGGTGCCGGGAGAAAAATCCGATCTAGCGGACTATATACGGTAATAGAGTTTTTACACCGTCAATAATATTTAACTTCAATGAGCTCTGCGGAGTGGACTTATCAGTAATTTGACTTGTGTATATAGTCGTGTTTAGTTCTTAGAAATGCCATTACTTCGACCTAGATTCCTGGTAGTATGTAAGGCTTATAACTTATTGCTCGTGAGAACCATGACTGATCCGTCAAACAAGGCTCAGACCCTTGATATATATTCAGCCCAGGCGTGAGCGGTTGTGTCTCTTGACGACTTATCGGTCAAGTGTAAATATCCCAGAGGGCCAACCGGTCAGTGATGACCACAGTTAACCGACCGGTGGAACTTATCAGCTGGCTATGAAGCTTGGGCAACGTTGACTCAACCACGTTTTAGCAATATTCGTCAAATGACCATCTGAAGAATTGTCTCGTTCGACCATGCCCTCATACTTTGCAGCCCACCCTCTTGGCTGATGTGTCTAATTTCGCTTCTGCCGCTTGTTAGATAAGTCGTCCCAGTGATGGCTATGTGTTCTAGCCCATATGTGAGATCCAGCGGTCTTCCAGCTTCTGGTTTGAACCCACCCCTCACTTTAAAAAAGCTAATTATTAACCGGTCATGTCTCATTTTTGACCGAGCGATTGAACTAAGCGTTTATGATGTGTCTCGCTCGTTGTGTCTTACACCGTCATTTCCAACTATCAGATAATCCCGCCCGACTCAGAGTAACTTATAGACTCGACTGTTAATTCGATGGCGTAGAAACCACAGTTGTCGCACTAATTCCCCTATGACCATGATACTATGGGAGCGAACTCGGAAGAGCGTACAATCAACTTTCTAACATTGCTCAAATCTGAGCTGTGCTACCGAAATTTCATCTTACAAGCTGTTAAGTAAGGAACGACGATTTGGGGGTATGTATTTACTGCAATAAGTGAGTGTGACAAGGAACACTTTCCAGTAAACGTATGGCTATGACGACGATAAATAGCATCGGCAGCCCCAGTCGAAACATTAGATTTCATTATCTGCAACTATGCCTGTCATCTCTCGTCAGCCAACGCGCTACTCAGTGGACGAGCTCGACGCTATGCCTTTACTTGGTCGCAATCCTAGTAAGCGACGGCCGCGGAAGTCTAAGGGTACCAATAGTCTGACTGAATCAGTATTGCAGCGAGACCAGCCTACACTACGACTGCGGTTTCAACAGCGATGCTTGAAGCCGGAGACGTGGTGGACATCTCTTACCGCTTTTGGTGCCTACGATGATATCTCGCACATGCTGGAACGCGAGAAAGCCATTGCAACGGAGGAAACCCGACAGGAATGGATGCGACGTCTGCGGCCTATGCCTCACCGTCTAAGCCCTCCAGTCAAGCAAGGAAAACAACACAAAAGGAGCTAGATAGTTTCTATGGGTCACAAAATGCTCTGAAAGGTCGAGCCCTCAATCAATAAAGAAATATCTGATTCAGAGTACACATTGGACATACATTTTCCCTGTATGGTATAACTATAGATGCGCTCGAAGTCAGTTTTGTCGCTTTACTATATCTCTTTGATAATTCAGTTCATCCTGTAGGGTCAGTCATCAAATCGACTATTGAATGAATGCCGAAAGTGTTCTCTTTAGTTGGTGTTAAAATACTACAGTATCTATCACTACATAGAGTTAGGAGAGGTTTATCATTCCTGATCGACTTTAGTGCCGCTTAGGGAAGGCTATTCACTCAACAAAGAACGACGGTAGGATTTTGATTGGTATATCATAGACGTAAATACACTAGCTTCGCACATTCCTCCCAGCACATCTTAGATAGAGTGGAAGTGTTCGCTCATGACTTTATTATATCTGCTTGCTTACATTGATATGACTCTCAAATGAGTAATTGGGAAATGCTTTAGGACAATCCTATGCTACGTGGAGTAACATTGCCCGCTTAGGCCGATGAACCGTAGACCGTAATGGTCACTGGTCTATATGGTCGTACACAACACTGCAGCCTCACTTTGATGCGGCTCGCTCAGATATCCCACACTAAGCCTTGGCGGTAGGGCCAGAAAAAGTTGCTGGATAGATTAAGCATGGAGTGAACGTTGAACGCTAGTTAGAAGTAGCTTGGAAATTAGCTAAGGGGGCTGAGGAAAATAAGGAAGCTGAGGACTGCGAACTTCGTACCACAGTGAAATTTGTCTAATGATGCCCCACCATCTACTACGGACTGAACCAAGTCATAGTATAAAGGTACACTAGGCCCATGACAGAGGAAACAGTATCAGCCATGGATAGTCCCAGTAAAACGCCAGAAATAAGTGATACACAAAGAGAGGCACCGCTTTATATATAGCTAAGTTCAACCGACCAGACTTTGCTTACTGGTGTTGATACCCCGCTGCCGGTAAGAATAAGATATGAACTGAACGGGCCACGCTGACTAGCCAGATCCTAAACCACTCCATAGAGAAGCAGATATTGACTGTAGAGCCCTTCCGACCCATACTTGATATCTTGAAGCAGATCGAAGAGGAAGATTCTGAGCTTGTATGTTGGGCTGCACGTCTCATGGCGTACGTTCGGTGTTTGTGGGATTCTTGTGTATCCAAACATATAGATATTCAGCAGCTCGAAGAAGAAAATAAAAAGCTGCGGACCGGGAATATTCAGCTATACAACGATGGAAACCAGTTGAAGCAATGCTAGGATGAGCAAGTGGCTCGCCTGTATGCTATTGATGATGCGTTAGACGAAGTTCGGGGAAGGCTTATCGGCGTGCTTAAAGTTTGGAACGAACGGTCTGTTGGCGACTTGGCAATTCTGCCAGAGGATGGGTTTCCCCGATGTTAGTCGTTGCCGCTGTGAAGGGGAATCAAATGTACAATGGTAGAAATCCAGCCCGACAATAAAAACTACTATGTCCTAGACTAGGCGATTTACCACAATTGTTAAATAGGTTGATGGTTCAGCGACTGAACTTCCAGCATTTTGTACAATATAATATGAAATGATCATCTAGGTGGTCAGAACGTATAATTGTAGCTATCAAAGTCAGCCAAGAGTGATATTTCCTCGTACGCAGCTAAACTTACCTCTAGAGATAGCAACCAGCAGTTCCGGACAACCCTAAAGACCGCGACGAGAAGAAGCACCGCTGCTAACCCGGTCGTGTAAAGCAAAGCACAATATAATTATGTTCGATTCCGGGAATATATCGTTGTATACCTATATAGCCACCATAAGAGAGAAGCCAAACTAAAATAGTCCACAAAGTGAAGAAAGAGCACAACACCACGGAGTGGCGGGTAAATATAAGTACCAACGAACATAGATATGATCTTGAGAGAATGTAATATAGTGAGAAACCGATCCTCAATCGAGATGGTGTACTGATGAGGTTTTGCAGCAAGATACTTATTCGGAGAGACTGTCTTGGTGGTCAATGTCGGAACCGAAAAATTGCCTTATACTCTAGCACCTACCACAAGTAAAAATGCAAACACGCTAGCTATTCCTAGAACTAACTCTCTTGGAGTATCGTTTGTTCCAGCCCAGCTCAGTCCTATATAAGCTGTCAGTAAGATATCTTTCGGTACAGACACTGTAAGTTCCAGAGCCAGATTTGAAGTGCTTCCCTAAACTGCTCGACGAAACAATTCAAAACGTACGAGGCTGACTATCAGCAGTGCGGTAGCCAGGGTAGTATACACTGTAGACGAAACCAGCATGACTGGCTGGCTTATTGGTAATGTCCGAATACGAGGGAATTAAATTGAACTTATACTGAGGATGACCTATAAATGTATTAGTTATTTCGCAACTTGCAAAGCCTGATATCATATATGGAAGTCTAAAGATGCTGTTTTAATCTGTAACTGTCGTCGTCAAGCTGCCACCACCGAGCCGTCTGGGAGACGAATGAATGCCCACCTAATGGGATCCTAGGAACCAGCTTTCCACTCAGCAGCTTCTACTACCACTAAAATTTAGGAACAAATTGGCTCAAAATCTACTTAACAAGCCCTGGCTCCTAGGAATGGTTCCTCCAGGAGTGAACCGCTTACCGCGGGCTCATTCAAACTTTGTCAGATTCCTTATAAAGGTGCTTGCACCCCTGCTACCTCATACAGCGGGAATTAAACCCCGTTCCATTCAATTTTTTCTATCAAATCATCATCACGATCACTTCTTGGTAAGATCTCCCTGATTCCTGAGAAATGAAGGTATACTGATTCTTGTCAACCTCCAGCTCACTGCATCTGCACCATCTATCCCAATATCTCATATTCAAAGAGGAATCCCATTGTTTTTTCGTCACGATGGGTATTATGAGATCGCATGCACTATAATGAACCAACTGACGGCCTCTGATATTGGCGCCCTTTTAGCTTCAATTCGTATTACACCCACCCAACGTATCAAAGAAAAGTTCTTACAGCCACTGCGAGACCTTGACCATACCATGCAACGGTTTGAGCCTTGGTTCCACGATAAATGTCAGGTTCTCATCATCGGCCCAGACACCGTTCGATTGAACGCCCGAATCTTCAAGGCAGAGGAATACTATAAGGAGAGTAGTCGTTGACGCGGCACTGCATATACATAACATTAAATCAAATTCCTCTCCACAAGAACTTATCCCAAGACTAACAGGACTCAAGACATGCTTAGCTATCACAAAGTTCCTCCACCTGCGTGACATCTTCAGCAAACGTAGCGCCATATTCTCTCATCATCTGTATCTTCTCATCCATATTCATCGCTAAACTCATTCTCCCAAAATCCTTTGGAAGTTGCCTATCACTCTCATATCTCAACATCCATACACCCACTCCATCCGTCGGCCAACCGAACACCAGCACCTTTTCTTCTTCCTCCGTCATCTCCCTCGCGCCTAACCGTACTTCCAGCCTGTCCTCCTTACTCGACCACCACTTAGCACCAGTCCGTCGCATGAGATTACAGAATCTGTCTTCTTCGTCGTCACTAGGAGAGCGCTGCGACTCATGAAAGCGGGGGAGTGATAGGAAGAGCATGTCGAGAAGGTCAGCCTCTTTGACGAGAACCCCGCCAGTGGAGGGGTAGCCGTAGACAATACATCCTCCTGGGCCGGTGCCAAAATTGGTCCGTTCAGTCGTTGATAGAGGGAGTATGGAGCATAAGGCCCAGTCATTCCGCGAGTCCCCTATTTCTATTCGCTGATGGAAATAATTCGAGATAGGACTGATATTGATGGGAAATATGCGGCCAATGGTTTGTTGGCCGAGAGTCGATAGAAAGGTAGAGATGATGGCGACGAGCCTAATGTTAGACCTCCAAGTCATGTTTCAATATGGCTACAAACAGAACAAGGTCAAAGCTCCGAATGAGCGTGCTCTTAGTGTCATGCAGATGACCGTTTCAACATATAGAGGAACTAGGGGAAGCTCCCTTCAACTGATTAGGCAGCGACCTTTTGACATAAGCAAGTATTGCTCTGCCGAGGTCTACCGCTAACCGATGGGATGTCGTTAGCGTTATCGTAGCGGTAGGTGTGTCCTCGCCAATCGGAGCTATGAACGCCGCCGCTATGTAGCCCTAGGGCTAGGTCGAATGGGGAAGAATCCAAGAATAATTAGTATGGATAAGAAATGGTGGGGATTACGTGATTTAGGGCGAAGAGTAGACCTTATAACCGCCCACACAAGCGAGCCGCCCACCTAAACTAACCCCTTGACTTCAACTATATTTATCTCAACCAAAACGCTATTAAATTAATTCAACTAATCAATTGGTCTATTTGGACATGTTTCCCTTCTATGTCCTGGCAATCTGCATATTCCACACCCCCGGGGGGCCGTGTACGTGGCTGAATAGCCGATTCTCCAGGTATACTGGGACCCGGAGGAGGTGCTTTACCTACTTCCTGTTGCTGTATAATCAATGCAGAGGCTTCTTCAACTAAAAGGCCTTCTTTAGTAGGTATCTGCCTCCGGGATCTCGTACGCTTTTGCTTCTGCTTCTCGTTGGCGGCACGTAAATCGCTTACTTCTTTCTCAAGAAAAGTAGCAGACTGTATAGTGATTTAACAGGCTTTTAAGACCTGATTTATCGCGCAATTTAGCGGACTCGGAGGGCTCCTCGATCTAGCACGAAGTAAAGCTTCAATTGACGAAGCTTGCTTTTATAATTGCACGTAATTCGAGGGCGTTTTTGGGTCCTAATCGCTCCCCCTACTCGGAGGGGGTGTAGGGGTTCGGAGTCGAATATTAAGCTTTGAGATCACTCGATTAGGTGCAAAAGGTACTAGACCAGCTGCTCTAAAGCTATTCTTGATAGTCTCTGGTTTAAAAGCTTTAATTCGTGCGAGGGGGTATGCTTCGAGGAAGTCAAGTTTATCGATATAGTTAATTCTATTTCTCATTTTTGTCTCCACCAGCCGACCATATAATCGTTTTAACACAGCAAAACAGCCAATATCGAGAGGCTGTAAAAGATGAGAGGAGTGCGGAGGCATATAAATTGGTATAACCTTATTTTACTCGCAAATTTCATCGAATTTAGGGGTTAAATGGCTTCTATGTCCATCAAGAACTAGAAGCCTATAACCCCCTTCGTACGTAGAGAAGTGCAAGGAATAAAGAGCTTCTCAAGCTAGCGAACTCCTATTTTATCTGAAGTCTAACCATTAGGACTAACTTCAATTCGCTAGTCGTTTGGTAGGCCTTCGAACCATGATTCCACGTAGACTTTGCCTTTAAAAATAACACACGGAGGAAGCGCCTAGCCAGCCGAATTCGTACACTCAATAACAGTAACCCATTCACGATTTCTAGGTTATAAAAGTGAGCGCCGGCCATAGAATTCGCTCCTCGTTATCACCTTCGCTGTGGAAATTAACCCTATCGCGAAACTAGTCTCGTCGAAGTTATAAACGTCATCGGGGTCGATCCTAAATTAAAGGATAGTTTTTTGAATAAGATCAAACCATTCATTAATGATTTTTGGGTCTTCACACTTCGCACGTTCGTAATTATAGCGTCTCGAGAATCGGGAGGAGAGATCAGGGTGTCGTTTTATGAAATTCGTAACCCAGTTTTCGCCGACTGAAAGAGCTGGGGTTATTCCACGTTGTTGAAGTAAAAGATTCGCCATTTCTCGTATAGTAGCAGGGCGGGGAGCTACTCCACGAGAATCTATAGAGAGAATCCATTTTTGAAGAGATTCCTCTTCTATTTCTGTCAATTTATGTGAATTTGCGCGTGTAGTGCTTCGTTCAGTGTGGCCGGAGTAGAGTGCGCCAAAAACCGCAAAACCGCAAAACCAAACCGCCCCAAACCGCAAATGGTTTGGTTTTTGGGGCCAGTTTCAGAAACCATTGCGGTTTTTGGTTTTCGAGGCCCAAACCGCAATGGTTCTTGGGGCCCCAATGGTTTGGCAAACAATGCAAACTGGGTGGGTCCTTGTCAGTGTATAATTTATGCGGGTTTTCTCTGTTTCTTAGGGTATTTGACTTCGAAGATATGATATATGTGAAATAAGTGCTTTAGGCTTAGGCACTTGATTTCTGACCGCGGTCAGAAATATAGGGTTCTCTTATTATAGTACTAGCTTTTTGACCGCGGTCAGAAATTAGTGTAATGATTGAATTCGCTATCCTGTTGATCGCTAATAATACTGGTATAGATCCTCGTCATGTCTGATCCGTTTCCGAGCTCTTACAGAAGCACGTATCTGAGTGCTTTTATCTTTATTAGAAGGAAGGGGAGGGTCAGTATCATGATCGATCATAACCTATATATCCTCCCTACCTTGCACCTCTTCCTCTTCCTAGGTTTGCTCTTCCTCAGTATCACTAATCGGATCGACGTTCACTGTATCAGTTGTGATTTCCTTCTCCTCCTTTGCCGCTTCGATCTCGTCGCGAGTAAAGAATTCCTGTAGGAATACTGCCTATTCCTCCTCGATCTCGAATTTTGAAGTACAAAGAAACATCATTAACTCCTGGATAGTTGTTGCACTTAATCTTCCACGGCGATAGTGACAGATATCTCGGGCAGTATTAAAAAGTCGTTCAACACCAGCACCAGTCGCAGGGACTAAAAGCACATCTCGTGCAAGGGCTACAAGAGTTAGGAAACGATAGGCATTCTCCCTCCAAAACACTAAAGGCGCTATATCTATAGTAGCTTATGGGATAATTAATATCATATAAAGCAAAGTAATTAAGGATACATACCACTATCAAGATATTGCGAAAGCTCATCGCCTGCTACAGCAGAGCGGGGACGCTTTGGCTTTACCATCGAGTCTAGGCGCGATATTCCTCCCCCTAACGAAAGAGATAGAGGAGACGTCGGTTGCTGGGCAAGACGTTCTTTATAAACAGCCAAATGCTCTTCAAGAGACTTTCTGTATATCGTACGCCAACGATCATCCCAATCATCTGTTTAGAAGAACTAGAATTTGTTCGCTGGAGCTAGCATTGTAGTGATTGCATAAAGATGCCCTCGTACGTTATCTGTCTCAGAGTAGTACTCATCAAGCTTCTTTCGCGCAGCTTGTAACGCCTAAAGCATCTATCGCTTCCAGGTAGTCTTCTTCCGCGTAAGCTGGGTGATTGATAGCTCTAGGTGCTCAAACAGCTTGTTATAAATCAGAAATACATGATATATAGTGGCATCCCGGGTTTTTGAAAGTTCAACTGTGAAATCAAAGAAGGGCTGGGTAATAAAGAGAAGGTAGTCAACCTAGCGCCATTCTTCGTCCTCGAGTACCATATCAGGCCGCTCATACTCATCACAAAATAGCTGGAAAAACGATCGTAAGCGTTTTGCACGTCGAAGCATTAGAAACGTAGAATTCCAGCGTGTCTTAACGTCTTAAAGAGGCATAAGCTTTATTGTTTCGCCTTGTAGATTGTAGAAGGTTTCCCGTCGTTAGGGACTTGCATTCACATAGATCGCAAGGTTTCGAATCTAGATATCGTAGTTAGTATAATATAAAAACTCTAGATTGTATAAATATATACCTTCGATAGTGTATTGGCAATATTTTGCTTAGTTGCATTCATACGCGCTGACTAGGATCGCTGCTCTGTCCACCGTGTCTCCGTTGATTCATTGAGCGGGCAAGCCTTAATATACCCAAGAAGCTCATTAAGGCTCAGCTGAATCACATAGGCAAGACAAGGGACCCTAATAAGGGTAGTGTCTTCTGATATTGCTTGTTATAGTGTATCAACCAATGTCTGGTTATTTGATACATTATCAGTCGTGATTGCGAAGACCCGATCTTCGATCTTATGTCGCAAAAGTATATCGAGGAGTACAGAACTTAGGTTCACACCAGAGTGTGATCCGTAAAGGGGTTTAAAGCCGAGAAGAACCTCACGGTATTGCCAGTCCTTATCGATAAAATAGCCAGTTATAGCCATAAATGCCTATGTGAAAGGCGAGGTCCAGCAATCAAGAGCAATTAATATTTTTGTATCTTCTAGGAGCATTCTTAGAATTCTTTCCTATTGTTGTTATACGGAGGATTGTAGCCGGCGTCGTATAGTCTTTGCTGAAGGGATATCCGGGACCCTCGGTGCAGATTGGGCTATCTAGATTAAGCGATGAAACTTAGGATACTCGATCAGCCGAAAGGGAAGACGCGCGACCGTAAGAAATGTAAGAAGCTCTTGTTCCCATATCTCTTGACTAAATTCATTGGCGATCGGCGTATTCTAGTTATAGTCTAGGAATTAGACTAGAACTAATTATAATAATAGACGAGAAACATACCTTAAGCTGTAAAAATCGAGTGATATCTGTCCCTTGACCTTAGGTAGCTTTTATACACCCTACGCTAGAAAGGTGGCCTTTCATAGTTGAGGTTCCTTAACGCTGTTTCTTCCCATCTTTTGTCTCACGGACAAAGTTTAGGTGCTCAAGAATCTGTCCACAGCGCTTACACATAACCTTTGCAGTACCATCAGAGCTATGGGCGACCTAGTGAAATGTGTCCCAGGTACTAGACTAATGTTTCGCGTCCCAGGATATATGTTGTTTCTTACCGAAGCCTATCTCTAGCCACCAACTTACCCAGTCGTTATAGAGCATTTCGTCATAGAGAAAATAGACCTTCTTACGACCAGGGCCAACACGTGTGAATGTTGAAGGGATTGATAGAGGTAGGGACGGTCGGAGGAAGTCCGTTTCGAATAAAGGTAATGTTTCCTGACTCTCAGATAGATCAGATATAAAAGGATGATTGTGAGTATAATTGTCGAAATCACTATCGTAGATCGATAAGGAGAAGGCAGATTACTGGGTTTAAGACATGATAAGTATGAAAACACAACTACTAATGGTAAATACTAAGAGGGAAGGGTCAGACTTACATAAATTATACAGATTCTAACTAACTATATAGACGCGACTGACAGGACAACAAAGGATTCCTAAATAAGTGGATATATCGCGATTTAATTAGTATACTAAGCCGCTAATTAGATAACAGTAGCTTACTATATAGGTCAAAACCGCAAGAAACCATCAAGAAACCGCAAAAAACCAATAAAAACCGTAAGAAACCATTAAAAAACCGCAAGAAACCGCAAGAAACTTTAAATCATTTTTCCGCCGAAAGCTACCTCGAAAATTGAGCCTAAGGCAGCAGCTATATCAAAGTCTCAACTAAATAACTAAGTGACTTTAAACTAATTTTACAGTCTATAAACTAAGGAGTTATTATTAAAATAGGATAATATTTATAAAAAGGATAATTCGTAATTGATTAATATAAGTTATAATATTATAATACCTTTATTTAAAAAGTTGTAGGGAAACTGTAGTGATCAGGGAAAGATATATATTAAACTGTTATATTGAATATATATTTCCGCGATAAAATATAGAAGAACATCTAAGACCCAACAATTTCTCCTTTTTATTATCCATATAATAGGCTGATACTAGTACTAGTTAAGGCTTAGGCTCTACCCACGTAGTATATTTCTGACCGAGGTTAGAAACAAATACTACCGCCCACGCGGATATAAAGTATAGTTGTGACCAATACAAGGTTAAATAACAGTAATATATTAGCATGAGTCACCCAGTTTATGTATGCCAAGACCTCAATTTTATACAAAAATGGTTTTTGTTGGGGCCCCATTGGGGAACCGCAGTGGTTTGTGGTTTGGTTGCGGTTTGGGTGGTTGGAAACCGCAACCACTGCGGTTTGGTTTTTGGGGGCAAACCTTGCCCCCAATTGCGGTTTTTGGCGCACTCTAGGCCGGAGAGGCGATCGCGTAAAGTTGTACGCGGTATATTAAAAACGCGCGCCACTTCACGAATTGAAGAGATTTCTTTATTCTTAAAAGCCTGAATAGTTAATAGAATCCTACCCTCTTGCTCAATTGAATTCCGAGAGCTTTGAGAGCGAATTGGTGGCATGGTGGGTGGTTGAATTGACTAAGTGCGAATCCCGAGACGTGTTTTAGGGGAGGTGGGCGGCTCGCTTGTGTGGGCGGCTCGCTTGTGAAATACGTTATTATAAGCTAATTAGTTATAAGTGTCTTTATCTATAGGTATACCCGTGGGCACGCCTATAGGAATATACCTAAACGCCTATCTTAAGTTACAATCGAAGGATTTAAAACTCCTAGAATAATAATATAAGTCTTTAAGTGATATAATTAATAGAATTTAGTGATATAAGCTTATAAAATAAGAATTATACTAATTATCTTTCGATCTACCTATAAGAAATATACTAGAGTGAGAGATAAAGTAGAATCTATAAGTAGTATTTTACTTATAGAAAATGCTAGGTATATACCACTAACTTAAATATATATCTTTAAGCTATTATAGTATGATTTGATAAGTTAATAAAAATACCATATAACATAATATATTTCGATTAAAATTTTATTCTAAGTCGTATTATATATATACTAGTTTCTTATATAGATAGATATTTTAGTAAAATTTATAGATATTGTAGATTAAAACTGCTATTTTACATAGAGTTAGCAAAATAGGTATAAATAACAGTTATTTATTATGTAAAGTCAGCGAGTTATACGTCTATTTTGGGTGACTTTATGCAATAGTGGGCATCGTGGGCATGCCCGCCGTGGGTATGCCCGTGGGCCTTAGGCGTTATGGACGGGCACTCGAAAATCTAAATAGCCTAAGGCCCACCGTGGACGGGCCTTGGGCACCTCCTAGGTGCCCATAGACGGGCGATGTCGCAGTCTAGGTCGGGTTTCGGGCTTTTCGAGCTTTGCGGAAGTCTATGTCGGGCTTTGGTATGGTATTCGATGTAGGTACTACGTATACATCTAAACTGCCATGTGGTCTAATCGAAAAACCCATGATTAAAATACATAAGATTTGACGCCTCTGCATTTCTCTTTTGGTATCTGTGCTTCTGCCTTACGCCCAAAAATTACTGAAGACTCACGAGGTAGCTCACGTTCGATTAGTCGATTAAGTCCACGGCTCATGACTACGGGGGACCACCGCCTACCTAGCTGTAGACTTACCTAACCTTAGTTTAGTCTAAGAGTATGCCCGTACCATCATCTTATATCCATAAGTATTGAATATTGAATTTTGGACTGGTCAGTGGAATAACCCTCCCACAATAGCTTCAACATCCAGTTCATTTTCAAAGTTCTCGAAGACATCCAGAGACGACATTGGATCAAACAGATTTGGATGGTATGGCTGATAAATTGGCTTCGGGCTGTTTGTTGAAGGCGTGTTCTGGAAGCCAATAGATGTACTTTCTTTATTTCGCAATTAGTTCAGGTGACAAAATCGAAAGAAGCGTTATGCTTACCAGAGGATATATGGGTGGAAGAGGCACGCAGATCTGAATTTTGTTGCGCGGCAGAATCAGTTTGGAAACTCAGGCCCTGATGAGCATCAGACTCCCGCAAGAGATGTTCTCCTAGGTCTGCCATGAGTGAGGCCGAATGGTAAGTTTCTCCGAGTTCTCTTAGAATATCGCAATTCGAGGCCACTTGCTTTCGAGCCCGTGATCGGAAAAATGATGTCTTGCTTTGTTGTAGACTGCGATATGACACTCGAAGAGATTGTGAAACGGCATATGGAACAATCGGAAATAGAGAAAGTTCATTGCGGAACTCATCACCTACGATGGCTGTGACTCTCGAGGCTGAAAGGCTTTGGCGCATGTACGATGCCGAGGAACGAGAACGGTCGTCAGGGGTGATCGAGCGACAAGATAGTATGGCAACCGTATGATATAAAACTTCGACTGTTGCTGAGCTTTCAGTTAGTTCCGAAACTTCTACTACGACTATTTGGGTTGACCAACCAATCAAATGCATTGGAATATTAGGTGCGTCAAACTCCTGCAACACATCCTCGAACAAAGGAAATCCCTCTTCCCACACAGTGTTTGATGAAGGCCGGTAAAGTTCAATAACTCGATCCATCAAGGTAATTGTGCGCAAGAAGAGCTGAAAGCACCCTTCTTGCGCTGCAATGCATGAATGGAGGTCACGACCGAAATCTCGGGCATGCATCTGCATAGGCCTTCCATGAAATGCTGCATTGAGAATATCCAGCGCATATATGCAGCAGAACAGACGTATTGAGTTGGCTTCAGATTTCGAATTCGACTGACCACGTAGGTGCAAGCCCATAGTATGCGCATGTGCGAGAGCACGAGAGAACAATTCGGCGGATTCTTGTCGATCTCCAGAGAATTGGGTGAATAGTGAGACTAAAGCGAACACTTGAATGAGCACCGTTTTGTCTTTCACCAGACCTAGTGCCAATGATGTTCTTATTACTCCAAAGAGAGTTCGAGAAAACTCATTGCGGGATAAAACATCCGTCTTGGGCAGTTGGAGATATTGTATCGAATTTGGGCTCACACAGGCAGCGAAGCATATTGCCTGTGATAGCAAGGCCCACTCGGGGGAATCAGAAGGCGTGCTTTGATAGCTTTCATGGTCCAGTATTGGAAACACGGGATGGATATGTTCAAGATAAATGTGAGTGAGGCCGGCCAAGTCCTCTAGACCAGGAAGAACACTCAGACAATGGTCCTCCAAGTGGGGCAAGAAGACTGAGGATATCAAAGGATCCGGTGAAGTGATGAAACGTGATCGTGACTTCTTGACTGCGAGTCGGGAGAATCCACCACTTGCTCTCGAGGATTTGTCGGAGAACCAGACACCAACATCATGTTGCCTAGCGGTTCCAGTGCTCGTACTTGGACTTGCAGCAGCAAGCAATGTACCTTCGGGATTCAAATCTCCAATAAACCGAGAGCCCCCTCTAGATCCGCATACGCGGGCTGTTCTTGTCTAACTGCATCAGTGTCGCCGGTGGGTGATGTGGTCGTATCAAGAACTTTAGAGCTTAATGACGACAGGGGGTGATAGCGCCTGTCGGCGTGTGTCCAGGCGATAACATTTCGAGTTCTGATGGTTGTATAGGGTTCTCCTGGTGCGTACAGCGCCTCTTGCGTTTCCGGCAGTCTTGACAAGCATGGTGAGTTTGTTTGCGCTTTTGAGGAAGACCACTAGCTCCAGTTGCAACAAATGTGAAGGCTGGCCTCTTCTGCCGATGACCTCGCATCTTGAAATTTGTGGATCCTTGATCATGCAAAAGAAGTCTATTTCCAGCACATCTAGCAACTTTGACCGAATTTGTTTTCCCGCCTACGGAAGAGTCATGAAAAAGTCACGAAAATGGATACTCCGCGGCTATAAGATACGGGAAGCTCTCCTAATTAGGCCATTCCGCCAAAGTTCGGTGCGGGATGACTACTTCTTTAGGATACTCAAGGTAGCGTATAACAATGATTCCGCTGTAGGAGTTGTATGGGATATTTAAGAAGCAGCCTATCTGCAGCAATTTGAAAGCTTTGACTATTGATTCATCTGAATTAACTAATATTTGCATCCACTCTGCAATAGAGGATGAAGCTCTCTAGTTCTCATCTTAGCCCACCTTTTACAGGTGAACTAGTAACTTCCCAGGTCACCCCGGCAGTTCTCGATTTACCACGTGGGAAAACAAAGCCATACTTCCCAAATGAGCAACTCCGCCCATGTCGTTGTTTGCCCTATCGCGGGGACCCCACGGGGAGACCCGGACAAAATTCTCATAAATAGAGATCAATCCCATTCTTTTCTGATTTGTGTACATCTTTGACTCGCAATGGCTATCCTTAACATTGATCTAGATTGGCAGCGACACAAATGGCCACTCTTCTATTGCTTTGTTTCACTCTTCGGAGCCTTCTGTTATGGCTATGACACCATTTATTACACTGGCATCCAGGGAATGAAGGCTTTCATCCGCGACTACGGTACCAAGACTCAGGATGGAACCTATGCCCTCGAAACCACCTTTTTGTCTGTGACTGCGTCGGTGATCTACGCAGGAGAATTCGTTGGTGCCCTGATGACCGCCCCAATCAACGATGCATGGGGCCGCAAAGCAGTATTCTACTCTGCTTCAATCTCTATCATTGCAGGTGCTATTGTTCAACTATGCTCATTCGGGATCTATGGCGCGTTCTGCGCCGGCCGAGTTCTTATTGGGCTAGGAATTGGTCAATTCACAGCCACTTGTTTGATCTATATCAATGAAATCGCCCCGGCCGAAATTCGTGGACCTGCTCTCATGTCATTTCAATTCATGCAATCCATCTCCCAGTTGATCGGAGCTTGCATTACACAAGGCACACAAAGCATCGATAATCCCACCTCTTATCGAGTTCCCATGGGACTATTGATGGCGCTTCCGGGTGTCATGATGATCCTCCTTCCATTCATCCCGGAGAGTCCTGTATGGTGTGTGTCCAAAGGTCGACATGAAGCTGCTGAGGCAGCTCTGCGAAAGATCTACCGGATGGAAGGTTACAATCCGGCGGAGGACCTTCGAATTATTCAAGAACAAGTTGACAAGGAGCGCGAGATGGAATCCGAATCCTCTTGGTCATCACTCTTCAAAGATCCAGTCGAGCGGCGAAAGCTTATCTTCTCATGCGGCGCCATGTTCGTACAACAGATCAACGGCATTCAGTTTTGGTATACATACGGAGTGGTGTTTGCACAGTCGATTGGTGTCGGCGAGCCCTTCACCATCAACACTATCATATACGTTCTGCAAATCATCACAGTCGGGATTTCAGTTACACTCGGAAACAAAATTCGCCGCCGCACAAACTTGCTAGTTTGCACTGTCGGGATGCTATGCTCTCTAGTTGCAGTTGGTGGGCTTGGTACGACCCGCCAAGGCGGAACTTTCACGCACAGCGTTGGAATTGCGATTGTTGTCTTCGCTTATATCAACATCGTCTTCTTCAACTTCTCTATTGGCACATTGTCCTACACCATATCTTCTGAAATGGCAGTTGGCCGAAACCGTAACAAGATTACTGCATGTGCCATGGGTGTCTTCTTCTTCACCGTCTGGCTGATCACTTTCGTCTGTCCTTATATCTACTACTCGGCCAACTTGGGGCCTATGATGACTTTCATCTTTGGTGGAACCAGTTTCATCTGCTTGCTATACATTTGGTTCTGTGTTGGTGAAACAACAGGTCGTACAAACAGCGACATTGACCAGCTATTCAAAGAGAATGTCCCAGTACGCCAGTGGCAAAATCACGTTCTCGAGCGAGAGTATGGCGCAGAAGACGACAAAAAAATATCGTCAGTTCAGGAGATTGAACACCCAGTCTAGATGCTTGCTTTGTTTATGGCCAGTTTTGAAGAAATTAAATATGCATCCTGATTTCATTGCCCTTCGAGCCCTTCTATTTACTAGAATTTCTTCCAGGTAGATAGATAACTTAGCGTATGCATAACGAACGCCTCCTTTATATCCCAGGTTGTATATAGATGAAAAAGAAAGTAATTGAAAGACATGAATAAATTTTCGCTGCGAATGTCCATTGGAAAAAAAAGATATCATTACAAACGACTCCGCAAAAAATGCAATAGTGAGATGAGCATAGAGAGTAAACAGGTACTCATATCTATGGCCCATATGAGAGCAGAGTAAATCAGTGTGAGATACACTATGAGATAATCACAACATGGGGAATGAGAAAAGCGCAGTGGTGCATCTCTCTAGACGCCCTTGGAAGTCACGTCTTTGTGTTCCTTGTCCTTCTTATCTTTGCCGTTATTCTCCTTCTTTCCGTTCTTGCTCTTAGCCATCTCCTGTTTCTCTCGCCTATGACGTTCGAAATCCAGGGGCACATTTGCAAGTCCACGGGCACCAGTGCGTCGGATACGCTGTTCGGTGCGGGACATTGGTCGGTCCGGGGTATCAGGAGCATAAGCGACCTCGTAGCCTCTGGCGGTGCGATTAAGTGTCAGACGCGGGGGTACATAGGATGTTGGCTGGGGGATATTCCGGGCGTGATACTTTTCCAGGACCCGGGCAATGGGGTTCCAGTTTGGGTCATGCCATGGCTGTCGGATTTGGCCAGTCCAACCGTCGAAGATTCCAGGGCCGGTCCTCAACTTCTCGGCCAAGATCCGTGCTCGGGACAGGGCAATTTCGTCCTCGTCGACTTGGCGAGACCGTTTCAGTCGAGCTTCCTCGATTAACTGGAGTTGCTCTTCGGTCAGACGCTTCGGCTCGCACAAGGCCTTGGCTCGTGCAAGCTTTTCTTCTAGCTTTTCCAAGATCGGGAGCTTCGGCATGGGGCGGTTCTCTGCTTTGTAGACGGAGAAGTTGAAAGGGACATGTTCTTCCGCTGTGGATACCTTAGGCACCTTAGTACTCGGGCCCTGTTCCTCCGGCTGGGGCTCAGTCTGCTCATCCAGCACTCGCTTCTTTTTGAGGACTTGCGACTCCTGTGGTGTAGGCTTTTCCTTTTCGTGTGCCTCTTCAAAATGCACGGACCGTTTGAATGATCCATCAGCCGCTGCAGAAAGACCTTTTCCTTTCAGCGAGGAGCGCCTCTTGTGCTCATTGAATTCATTTGCATCGGTGGCTTCATGGTGTCGTTTCAACGACCCTTGCTGTCTAGGCGCCACTGAGGGTTCTGGGCTTTGGAACAAGGGCGTTGGCGGCTGAGTAGTCGCCGTGTCAGGAGAGTATGCATTCGATGTGGTGTCAAATATTTTAGGCTGGCGAAGTGCTTCAAAGAGAGTCCGGGGAGGCGAATAGGCCGTCGCTTGAGTGTGCGACACAGACCGACGCGCGCCCGAAACTGGAGCGGATGCGTTGATAGGAGATGGGCCAGGTATTTGAGCCTGTGCAGGTGCAGAGTGGCTGAATACTGAAGTTTCACTCGGCTTGGGCGCAGTAGTTGCTGGTATATCCGCTTTCTGGCTTGGGTGCGGTACCTCGGGAACTGCAAAGATTGAGTCGGGGACTGGGAATTGGCTTGCAGCCGCGCTCGAAGGCCCTGAGGTGGTACTAGCATTGTTCACTGAGAACGGTGAGAAGGGCTGCCCGAAACCTGACGCAGTTGCAGGTTCTTTGGCTACAGTAGTCTCTGTGGCTTTAGTGGCTTGGAATGGAGATGGAGCAGTAGAGGCAACGTTATTTCCCAGACCTGCAGCTGGGAAAGATGGCGGAGCATTTGGAAGCGCAAAAGGATTGTTGAGTTCAATCGATGATTGCTGGGGTTTGGAGTCGCTTTTGAACATCGTAGACTGAGTAGCAGTATCTGCAGCAGGCTTTTCCATCTCACGGCTTGCGTTTGCAAACATGGACGTCGAACCAAAGGGATTGGCCCCAGACAATGTGGAAGACGCGAAGGGGTTCTTGGATTCAGTCAATGATGTAGAAGGCGAGGTACTGGGCTTGAAGAGCGTAGATGGCGCGGTAGTAACTGTTGCCGGTGTCTCCGTTTTCTGAGCTAACTCCGATGGTTTGGTGAAGGAGAATGGGGATGGCGCAGTGAAAGAGCCCGCCTCATGAGACGAGGTGCTAGTGGGCTTGAATAGCGTAGACTGCGCAGGAGTGGTTGCCGCAGGAGTCTCCGTCTTTTGGGTTGACTCTGATGGCTTGGAGAAAGAGAACGTAGACGGCGCAGTGAAAGGGCTCGAGGCGGCGGATAGCACAGAACCAGAGCCATTCGGGAACACGGGGCAGGGTTTGTCTGCAGTAGACGATGCAGGAGGGAATATGCTGGGCTGTGAAAATGCAGGCGCAGGTGGAGTTGTTGTAGATGTCTCCGTCTTGGATTTTGCGTACACTGGTTTTGAGAATATGGACGATGAAGTAGAGGCGAAAGCGGATGGTGGGGGCCCCGCGGAGCTAATGGATGGGACAGCTGGCTTGTCGGCAGTGTCAGGCTGAGAAGGGGGCTTTGTCTGGAAGAGCGAGAACGCCACATTAGTGGTCGGGGTAGAAGCGTCGGTCTTATTGCTTGGCTCGGGTTCTTTTGGAGTCAAGAATGGATTTGGCGAAGAAGCGAAAGGAGACGGCGCTGTGGGGATGGCAGAGGTGGAGGGTATCGAAGTTGCGAATGGATTTTCGGATGGAGGAGATGGCATTTTAGACGGCTGAAAGGCCGCCGCGAAAGGATTGGGCGGCTTTGAAGCGGCGGGTGGCGGCTTTGACTGGAACAGGGAAGGCGAGCTTGCAGGAGTAGATTGTAAAGATTTCTGAGACTCAGAAGCGATTCGGAATTCGGAAGCAGAAGTATCCCGAAGAAGAGTATTGTGTGTTTCAACCACAGGTGCGGGCGTCTGATTATCAATATCACTCACGAAGAGATCCCCATCTTCAGCCTCAGCCTCAGGCAGGGTTTCACTCTTTTCAGGCAGCTGAGAGCGATCAATCATGCCCATTCTTGCGGATTCTCTGATGTTCATGCCGAGAATGATGGCGACAAGACTACGTCCTGCACGCTTTGACTCCACATAAGTCTCAGAGAAAGAGTGGTCAGATGAAGGCGCAAAGTCTGGAAAAATGTTAGTCGTAAAACAAAGAAAGAGGAAGAAATGTGATGGAATGTATCATGAACTTGGGGCGATGGAGAGGGGGCAGGGAAATGAAAGGAAACGAGATTCAGTTGAGACGAAGTTGTCGTTTGGCATCACTTACCAACAGAGTCTACTGGCCGATCACCCCAATTGAGATACAGTCCACCATTCGCGTTCTCCACAAACTGTAAGTCCTGTGAATTGCAATATTCAATTGTCTGCTCGTCGTCATCGAAATGCAACACCTTGGTTAATTCCTCCACAGTCCAATGGTCGTTTTTGGATTGCTGTGACAGCGGGGTCCGGCAGTAGGCTTTCCAGATTGCACGGATTGCTGTCTGACGAATGTGGTTGAAGTACACCTCAGCCACACAGGCCATCAGATACGACACACTCGGGGAATTGATTATGTTGAAGAAGCGAGCGTAGAATCCCTGGGCAACTGCGTTCGTTCGGCGAGAATCCAGAGCACCTTGAGGTTCCCATGTATTACAGGCAGCGGCAAAGAGTTCCAATGCCACCTGCACGCGAGGTGAAGAGAGTAGGGCAGTTGGCCATTTCTGGACACGGGCTTCCAGGTCAGGCCGCTGGTCATGGATCGAGAACAAGATATGGTAAGCGCGGAACTCATCCTCGTTGGGGAAGTGAATACGCTCGCGGTTGTCATCGTAGTAGTACATGAGAGAGAGCATAGTGTTGTTGAGCTGCTCACGCTCTTGGTGGCGGTCGAATTGCTCCGTGTTCGCCGGGTTGGAAAGAAGATGCAGGGACACGATATGGAATCGCGCAATTCTTTCTAGACAAAGTACCGCTGTCTTCACATCTTCTTCGTGTGTAAGTTGCTGCACCGAGAAGTCGTTTCGGATTGATCGTGTCCGATTCCAGACGAACATGTGGATGGTGGCCAATGATTCACCACCATTGATAACATAACGAATGAGATAGTTCATGGTTTGCAAAAGTGTCTTTGGTGTCCGGATATCGGAGGGCAATTGCTCGTCGTTTCCAGCTGCCGCACGCCGAAAGCGTTTCACCATCTTGGTTTCCATGATTTCTAGCTGGTTCGTTGCAGGGTTATGATACTAAATTTGGGTGTCAGCGTGGCGTCAAAAATAGTAATCGGCGCACCATTACCTTTTCACACTTGTCGACTGCTTTCTGCACGATCCGCTCTACTCTCTCGAAATCAGGGCACATGCCGGTACAGGTACCCACAGGTGTGATGGCCTGGTTCAAGGAAGTCGGCTGGTTTGGGTCCGCCATTTGCCCATCTTTAATCGCCCGTTCACGCTGTCTCACTTGATCAATTTTCAGCTGCAGAGTTGGTTAGCTCTGTGGTCGTGTTGTCCATCTTCGAGAAAGGGCAGACTGACTTTGTCAAAGCGTTCCTGGTAGTTGCTCAACGTTGATGCATGCTCCATGGACGCGGCAAGATTTGATCCCCCACCAACAAATTTTGTCGAGGATTGTTGTTTCATATTGTTCGCGGGTTGGGCGAATGGGTTTTTGGCGACGTTCGAAGCCGAAGCACTGTTTGTGACTCTGGAAAACGGAGACTGCTGGGCGGGCTGAGCGCCGAACGGCGATGCGACAGGTTTTTGTTGATTTGGTTGCACAAATGGTGAGTTGACAACACTAGGCTTGGGGCCCTCTACGGGTTGTTGGGTTCCATGCAGGATGTGGCTTGCAGCGCCTGCGCCGCGCCCACGGCCACGAGCTGTCCATGTCGCTGACCCTCGTCCACGCCCTCGAGCCCTCGCCGCGCGGGGTGCACCTGCCCCTCTCGGCACATATGTTGACGTATGTCCAGAGTTCACACCTCTTCCCCGTCCGGTTGAGCCTTGCACGCCCGGCGCGCCTCCCCTGTGGCCGCGGCCAGCAGAAGGATTGAACGGGCTAGCCATCCTGCCCGCAAAGAGCGGAATAAACTGGATAGGCCGCCGCCTCTTGAAACAGCCTCCGTGCTCGCTTTATGGCCGAGTTGATTTCGGATTTTCAGGTGGATAACTCCGGAATGCGATAGGCGGCAAAGTCGACTGCGCAGAGATCTGGAAAGATATTTGCTGTTTGCTGGAGTTGGTTCGCCGAGGCGACAACAAATAAGTCAGCCCATGTTACAAAGCCATGAGAGAATGGCCAGGATGGCCCAATACCACACAGAAAAGACGGCGGATGAATACAAAGAAAGGCCGAAGGACAAAGCTGAGGGGTTTAACAGACTCGGTGATAGGTATTCGCGCTACCTGTCAGTAAACTCACAAGTATTTTCTCTTCGGGAGGATGTACGAGCGACCTTACGGACTTCTCGCCTTCGGTATTTGCGATTGATGGGGTTGTTCAAGCTCGTGAATCGTGCGCGTCGGAGTTTGCGATAGTGGCGTGAACTGGAAAGGCGGCACCGGTTAATCAGCCACACAGCAAAGCGCACATGAGAATAAAACCGAATTTAAACGCGTAGTGAGCACAAAGCGATTGAAGAGGATGGAAACGCAAGTTCCGCTGTGCTCATGGAGCTTCAAGCTGAGCGGAGTGGCTCCGCTTACTCCGCTGACCAAGCGCCTAATCGGGCGGGCGCGCGTCCCGCGCTTGCGTCTAATTGGCCGCGGGTGGAGCGAGTCATTGACTATATTCAGGGCCAATAGTAACAATAGGATGTATGTATTATTGATTAGAGCTGTCATTTACAGCATTGTATTCTGTAGGCAGATATCCACCCCAGAAGGTCTGGACCTGGGGGTCTCTATTCATCTGGATTTGGGGCAGATATTGCGAACAACATATGGACCGACGGGTGAGTTTCGAGCCTCTAAATCGAGTATAATAATCACAAATTTATTGAGCGCAAGAAGAATTGGAGAGTCTTCGAACTGAAGGGAGAAATAGAAATCTAGTAGAAAGACAAAGGCATCTATGAAACCACCACGTGTATAGTCCATCAAGTATTTCATATAAGACTAACGTCTATACTTCTGTCCAGGTCTGATGTGGCCCAGTGGGTGACCAAGTTCTATATAGTCTATTTCCGATACATCATAGTGTTATAGGGAGGCACGAGAGCTATGTCGAATTAATTCAATATCTACAAGAAGCATCGAACCCTTATGCAGCCTCTGTCTACGACACTATATTTAAGATGAACATTACGGTGTCTTTTTAGGTGTCTTTTTCTCTTCCTGGCTTTATAGTTAGAAAGCTTGAAGGGCAGTACAAAGCACAAAACGTACAGATGCCGATGTCCGAGGTTGTACATGGAAAAGTCATTTTCACCAATTGAGACTAGGGAAGATATCTTAAGAAAGACACCTAAGCGGAATATCAGAGAGGACCTCTGAAAAGACCTCTGAAAAGACCTCTGAAAAGACCTCTGAAAAGACCTCTGAAAAGACATCACGAGGCCACATAGGCGGGCAACTATTCTTATACGTATTCAATGTATAACAAGGGGTTGGAATTAAATCATGTTGTTTGTATCAGACACCATCTGGGTGTAAGTCTTTCAGCTGAGGACTGGGTATAACATGGTTGAATACTAGTACCCCATAGCAAGATCTTAAGTTTGGAAAACGTTGAGGACAGGTCTACGGAGACGCTTAGGTGGATGGTCAAATATGAGATGAAATGGTTTGGTAGTTAAAAAGACTAGAGCTAGACTGTGAAGTTTGACAAAAATCAAAGGAGACTCGGTTGCATATTATCGACAGACTATTTTCAAGTATCTACCCAAATCTCATTTATCAACACTCCAAACATCCAAGTTGGAGAAACCCATATAGACAACAAAAGCAAAAGGATCAAGCAGATAAGCAGATCAACAGAAGACAAGAAGAAAGACGCGAAAGGCCAACACCAGAAAGATGAAAAGGTGAAACAGAGGCGAGACCATAAATAAAAATCAAAGAAGAAACCACAAAAAGCAAAGACCGGAATATAGATCACTTCAGATCAAACAGAACACAAGTATTTTCAAAAAGAAGAAAAGAAAAAAAGAACCAAACAGACCCCATTTGTACCGGCCTCTGAAAGATGACCCCAAATTTTTATATCAAATAATCCAAAAAAGAAAAAGAAAACACAACAACTCCCCTGGCAAAGCCTTATGATAAGCGCTAAGTTTGTTGGCCAGAGCCATCACTCATATATGTTCGTTAATACCCATATCCATACCCATGCCCCATATCATCGCCCTCGAGTCAAAAACATTCGTGACAAGATTCCCACTCCCAGTAAGTCATTTAGACAGTGTGGGAGAGAGGCAACCCATTAGGGTTTGGGTGGCCCAGCGATCCCGTGCGGAAAGGCAGGGATCGTTGGTGGAGGGAGTCCATGTGGGACTGTTGGACATGGTGATGAGACATGTCATGCATGTGCGATACCATAGGCATCTGGTAGGCCATTGTAGACTGGGTCATACCCTGGCTAGATACCGGTGTAGGGTAATCGACAGGTGTGAAGATGTTCTGGCGGAAAGACGGGGCCCAGGTGTCGTAGTGACCCGCTCGTGAGTGATCGGGTGTGGAGTTTGAGAAGGTGTTGTGAGCGGAGTAGTCAAAGGATGAAACTGAGACGTCGTGAGGGCTGATCATCTCTGCCGTTACGGGAGCGCTGAGCATGGGCTGCGAGAATGACTCGGTGTATTGGGGAGGTGTGGTGTAGTAGGGGCGGTCCTGGCGGGTGGGGTTTTCGAAGTTGAGAGGCTCCGCCATGGAGAAGCTGCCTGGGAGGGAGCGAGCTGATGGTATGTTATCGATGGATGTGGTTAATGAGGTAGATGCTTGCTCGAATGATGAGATGGGGGTCATTAATCCTTGGCTGATGTGCTCGGGCTCCTCAATGGTCACTGAGGCGGTGGAATCGTCTTCTTCATCGCCCTTAGGGCTAGGGCCGCGGTTCATGGTGTAGACGACCATATTGGCATCAACTTCACCTCGTTCGAAGCGCTCTTCCATCTTGCGAACCCGGAGGATCTCGTAGATGATCTCGACATGGGATGCGTGCTTTAAGCTCCGCTTAGTGTCGCCAGCAACATCTTTGAGCTTATCGGCAGTAATACCGTAAGCACCGAGCTTGCGGATAATGTGAAGCAAGAGCTCAATGCGGTCTATTGAAATTGAGTTAGCAAGTAAAATATGAACAAGTGATATCATAGGGAAATCATACACTCTTTTCTCAAGTGGTCAGGCTCCTTGTGCATAACACCGGGAGGCCACCACTCAGGCTTCGTCTTTTCTGGGTCACCGGTAGTACCGGGTGCGGATCCTGGTGGAGCCTTGCCACCGTTGTAAGGGTGTCGGACCTGCTTGCGAGGCTCGATGAACTTGATGAATGCCTTGGCAACCATGCGGCAGTTAAGTTGTTGGAAGTGTTTTAGGGCACCTTCATAATAGCCCATAACCTTCTGGGCGTCTCCGATGCGGAGAGGAACCATTTCAGTGGACCCGTTCGCAAACTCTTCGCTATCAGAGTCTTGCTCGGTCAGGCGATCGTCATAGGCGGAAAGAGAAGGAGCGTTGCCCTTGCGGCGTCTCACTCGACGAGGAGATGTGTCCATGGTTTCTGTATACTGTTATCAGTATATATTGGCCTTGAGAGTCTGGAAATGGGACTATGACATACGGCGAGCAGGGGCATGGTAGCCGATACGTTCGCCTAGAATCTCGAGGAAGTTCTGGCGGACTTCCGGGGTGAAGACGGTGGTGTTTTGCTCTTGAATAGAAGATGATTCATCAACCTTAAGCTTGCCATCACGATCGAGGTAAATCATAGCAAAGTGAGCGTAAGGAGGACGGAAGGATGCGCGGGAGGAGCTCATCATTGGCTAAAGCGAATATCAGTCAACATGAACCCATGTTACTCTAGAGGGGAAACATACAGGAACATCGCCCCATCCTGGGGGTCCTTCGAGAGCCGAGGCAGACCTCTTCATGGCTCCGCTTGTGGGATTTGGTTTACTGTAAACCATGGCGGATATATGTATAGGTGATGTGGATGAAACCAGGGGACGTAATCGTCTCGAGAAGGATAATTGAATCTCAGTCAAAGTAGAGTATCAAGATATCAGATATGAGAGTGATTTTGGTTCTGGATGCTGCACGTCTAGGAGAGATTGTTCTCTTTATAGATAGTATTGCTCGAGTAGCGGGGTTGCGATTTAGTCAGGCTACTAATTCTGTGGACTTGCAGTCAGCCAACTGCTGGGTATCTTCGGCAGCACCAGTCCGTCCCCGGGAGAGGTGTTCATGAACGGCGGAAAGCCCATTGCCGCTCCGGTACGGGAAACGGTAGGACAAACGCTGGCATTCGGACAACCGGGGTCCAATCAAGCTCTTGCAAACAGAACTAGAAATTGACGGGATGTACTCACACAGTTCGAGTTGACAATGTGCAGGTGTCTCAATGGGGATGGAAAGCGGATAACTGCAGGACAGTGACTGTTCGTAACCGGGATGCAGGAACGAAAGGATATGCCTCCACTTTTTGAAGTGAACGAAAGGTCGGATGAGAATAAAATATGAAAGATGATCAAGTGGGATGATCGTTTTAAATAAAAGCTGAGGGTGTATAGCCAAAAACTCAAGGGGATATGCAAGCCTTTTTCAGTTCTAGATTTAATGTGTACAGGTGACAAAAGCACTTTAAAAAAAAAAAAGGTGAAAAACCAACAATTAATCCAACAATTAATCCAACAAGGATGATCCTAGAAGCCGGAACCCTATGCAGCGAGATTGGCGCAATTCAAGGACATGCAGTAGCTTAGGCTTGGGCACCCGATCCAGGATCCCTGTCCCACTATTTGTAGATCTTTTTCTATTTGTTTTTTCCTTTTTTTTTCTTTTTGAATTTGGATTTTTATATTATATATTATTTTTATATTTAAAATATTCAATTCACTTAGAGTGGCGCCCATATTATCCACTGTCAGTTCAAAATACCTGGCTCAGATCTCGAAATCACTACCTAGGTACTCTCTATATGAAATATGTATATTATTATAAGGCAACCAGTAGCCTAGTAAAAAAGAAATATTAGTAGGTATGTTATTAACTCTATAAGCACTCGCGTTTAGCTGTCAGGCACACCCACCCCTCATTAGGAAGACGCACAGGCCATAATTGACGCCGTGTGCTATTCTTAATATGCAGATCGTATCGTCGGAGGTTCCGAAAAAGTAATTCGGGTTTAAATCTAAAAAGCACCTAAAACTGTACAATGATGCCTACACTTATATTACTTACCTTTTGATTAAATATTATCTGTAACATTTTCCTATTCTCGATCTTCGGATCTCAAGAACAAAGTGCCCCGACACTAGCAACCAACCAAATGACTGAATCCACATTTCCCGTTCTTCGTGAACCTATCAAGGTGTGGCTTCTACAGGGCCCAACATCCTGGATCCTGGAAGATGACTCGCCGATAAACTGTCACTGTTTCCTTTTTATTCCCGTCTGGAGCTTATTGCCGTAGATCTCCGTTCACAAGTTACCCCGGGTGTGGCAAGCCAAAAACGGTGGGTTTATGGAATCGATCTTGGCTTCAGCTGAGTATAGTCCCCCTGAGATCGGACCTTAGATCAAAATCAAAGTTGAAAGGGGAATAGAGTAACGGCCTGTAAGTACGACCGTAGCTCTCGCCTACGGTTTACGACTATAAGACATTCAAAACGCTCTAGGACAGATCGAGATAATAAAGTGTTTGGCAATCCTAATATCACGGCGTGATCTACTCCCCGGGGAAGAAAATTGGTTGCAAAATGGTTCGAGTAATTATGCCACGATGGGTTAGTCGTGGTACTTTTCGATCTCGGGGATCTTTTGTGACTTTATGACAGCCCAATCAGCTCCCGCGAAGCTAGTGACCATCTCCCCGCCTGGGTCCGTGCTAAGACTCCAGGGGAAAGGAGCTCCGTACCCAGGATGCTGTCAACGCGTCCATCTCCCGTTCCGGTGGATTACACTGGCGTTTATTAGGATAACCGCTACAATTTACACTGTGGATCTTGAACAAAGAAGATATTCAAAACGGCTTAAGTCAATGCAACCCCCCAAAAAAGGGGGGGATGAGATGATCTAAAATACTATACTAATATCTTGTCTACTATCTTGATGTAAAAGGGGAACACATCCATACTTCCTCGGTCCCACTATCCATCCACGCTATATCGGGGATGCAAGAGGCAGAGTTTTTTCTTTTCTAATGCACAAACAACTCCAATCTGATTGTGTACTTTGACCATTGTATCCATCTGATCGATCTCATCCCATGCAAACTACTGCTCCGTATCTAACCTTGTGGCATTCCAATTGCCGTGCCGTCCGCAGCAATAGTATTGAACTGCAATGTTTCTCGAAGGCAATACTTCCGGATGTGGCGAGCAAATTAGATTATACAGGTTACCGCCAGGCACATATAGAACAAAGAAGTATCATCGAACTAGACGACTTTAGGGCATCGGTATGGGGTACAAAATTTGTCATAATTTTATGTCTTGGAGGGCGCAAGACTCGCGCCACTAAACGAGGCATACTCCGGTATTTGAACCAGTAACTAAATCTACGGCTTCATCGATGACATCCCCGGAAAGTGTTTCTTTGTTTGTGCCCCCTCGCCTGTTCCCACCGCGGTTTTTTTGCTTTGTCCGTTTAGCCGCTGTGCTCTTAGAGTGGGAACTAAGTGGACTTCTACTATTACAGTCGGTTAGTTTAAGGGGAAAAAAATTCCTAGTTACATTTGAAATCACGGATTACTCCGAATGTACGGAGTACTATGATATTCAATATTTCAATTCAATTTGAATTAGCTTGGTCTAGGCTTTAGACGCACCCCCCCCCCTTTTTTTAATTATTAAAACATGTCAGAGATGATCAGGGTCCTATGCTTGGGGTGAAAGCTTCTCATTGGGCGCAAGAGGAGATTCCCACCTATGTAGATCCCTACGCAGACGCTCAAACTAGCCACAACGTGGCTCAGTTATTTTGAGCACTGCCACAGGGACATGGCAGCTGAAGTAAAATATCTACTTAAGGTACAGTAGAGAAGCATTCATGGATGTTCCCTGTTGGACCTTACATATTTCATCTACATAGCGATGTTGAAAACCTAAGACAAACGTCAGTAAGTTTGACAGCTTGGCATTGCCAATCCCTATCACACTAGTTTCAGAGCAAACAATTTACCAGCAATAATAATATAGTGACCGCCATTGCCGCTTACACCATGAAAAAAAAAATTTAACTAGAACGGAGTTGCTCGGCGAAGCAATCACCCTGAAACCTCAAAATGAGGCGTCACTTGGTTCCGTCAACTCGGCGGATATGTGACAGCGGGTGTGCACTGACGGAGGAAACTAAATTGGTGGGGGCTTGTGAAAAGATTGGGGATGACTGCGAAAATGACTCGATCGGGTAGGCTTGGGCTGATCTACACTTCCAAACGCCTTCCTATGTGTGTCCGTCACACATTTCTGGAACGCTCGAGAAAGCTTCCGGATTACAAGGACTAGGATGTCGCTTTGGGTTGCTTCACCGCTACAGGGGGGAAAGAGCTGAGAAAGTGTTCAAAGGAACCGAACCTCCGGGATGATTTTGTCGTACTTTGGTATCTATAGTTCACTTCGAAATTCGATAATCCAACTGTCGGTCTGAGAGATGGACATGTGGAAAGGGGGTGAGAGTGTATACGCGGGATATCAGCGGGAATAGCGAGACGGTGGTTTCGAGGCTGCATGATCGGTGTGCTACAAAGATACCGTTGAGAGGCAACCTGCTCCCATGACATATGGATATTCGCGATGACGAGCAGAGTATATTCCCAGTCAGGTAAGAGAGCTGCACTCTTAAAAGTACCCCTCGTATTAATAATATTAATAATTCAAGAAACGTCAGGGCCTATCAAATCAGTACCCTATTTGGATCTTCGGGACACACACATAAGCAGACAGACTAAAATGGCACATGACGAGTACAGGTTATTGCTCAAACCCGAGCCTCCGCACGCACGATCGATCAATGATGTACATCGATCGAGCACGATCGAACCGACAGAGGCTGGCTTTGCGTCATTCGGTGCCGCTTTGTCGGGGCGTTTGGGGCTGAAGCCGTGACCCGTACCTTTTTTTGAGGTCTAAAATTGGCAGGGGGCGGAAGCTCATGGTCAGAAGGACAGTGATATCCACACTTGTACTTTGGGCTTTGGCAAATAGTCCATCGATGATGACTCTTTGGAGCATCCCTCTGGTCCCAAATCCAATCTCGCTAGGACCATGAGGCCCAGGCTCGACCCCACCAAGCCACTGGGCTGGGGCGGGCCGGGGATGGCGGTCCGGTAAAACCAAAGCTGTCAACCCCCAAATAAGGTCTAGTTGATTCTCCACTATCCCAAGGGAAAGGTCAAAGTTGGGGATCATAGAGTCTTTTGACTCTACCCGGCAGGATGGAATTGATGAAGATGTCAATTTCGCTTTCGCTCAATTACCACATTCTATAACTCAAGGTTTCAGGAAGCGATATGGCCAAATGCGAACTATGACTTCAAGAGATCGACTTACATTTGTCCAGGGTCGTAAAACAAAAGTCCAATTCTCATGTGCCCTAGTGATAGTATTGTTGATCATAACCTCATTTTTCTTCAGGGCGGCCAATCCCAATGAGCGATCTAACCGAAGAAGGTCTGCCTATCCTATTGTAAGCAAAAATAGCATTACAAATAGGCATCCTGTGGTGGCTTTCGATAATTCTAAATGCATTCCAAATGGATATGCAATCTTTCTGTTCATGCCGCCTTGCAATAGATGGACAATGAGAACAACAAGCAAAAAGCAATATGAAAAGCAGAAATTTCTTTCTCCATCATGGCACGGCCCGAGGGGCCGCCCATAGTGTCCCTACAGGTCGGGGCAGCGCTACTGCAGTTCATCTATTATCTCCCAGTGTGTTGCAGATGGATAAAATTTCTGACTATAAA